AATTTCGTGACACTGCCTGGCTCAATATTGGTGTTTTGTGTCAGAGTTATGGTGGTCTTATGTCCTGGGAAAATACTTGAAAGAATCTTCCTTTAAGTGAATCTTGGTAAAAGATTTTAAAATCTTAAAATCTGATCTGGGATACTTATCTCTCTTTCGGCCTTCAACTAGTTCTCTATTGGGTTGAACTGCTCACTGCTCGTTATACTGTAATCAGCACATTGCGAGCGGGGCTGCACAGCCTCCCAGCAGCCCCTGCGCTTCCTCTTTCCCCCCCGTGTTTCCAATCATGGCGGATGTGGTTCGGCAGCAAGAGCAAGAGGAGAAATCCGAACAGGAGAAACACCTAAACGGAGAGGTGGAACTCGAAGACAAGGAGGAGGCTGATGCTTCCGAGGAGACAGCCAAGAAAAAGAAAAAGAAGAAGAAGAAAAACAAGTCGCCAGCTGCCGGTGAGAGAGCGTGTGTGTATGTGTTAGGCCATGATACCCGTCTTGCTGTCGAGACAGGCCACATGAAACACGCCTTTTAGCACAAGCGGAGACTTTTCTTTCTTTATGTTAACTTAAGACAGTTGTCACTGACCTCACAATTTGGGATTTCAAAAATGCAAGTACAGTTTTTTGAAATGATGAAACCGCGATAAAAAACAAAAGTCGTGTTTTTCACGTTTCTCTTCTCGCAGTATGTTGAGGAATGTTAACTTACGTAAGAGCACAGCACCGTTTCGGTCGAAAAGATGCATAATACGACGATTTGCGGTAACGTGGAGCTTTTCAGAAGAGTTCAATTAAACCTTCCCCTCGTTTCCCCAGGACTGAAACGCTGGCTGTGTGCATGAATATTTGTTAATAGTATAATAGTGAATTATATGCCACCTGGATACAGATCAGTATTCGGAGGCTGAGAATTTGATTATACTTTTGGTCATTTGCTTAAAGCCCATCCTTATGAGGTTCAGACTCGCGTCCCAGGTTTTCACATTGAAGACCCAGTCAAATTTACACCTTAATACATTCTATTCAGTTTATTGTTAGAAAGCGCCTTTCACAACAAGGTTGCCCTAAGGTGCATAACAAAGCAAGTGACCATACATAAGACAGAAATGTGTTTATGAAAGGTAGGCCTATCAGGAGTTTGGAGACTGCTGCAAATTTAAAATCATAACGTTTTTAAATCTGTTTTCTGTCAAAAACTATGGTGTACCACTGTCATAGACTGTATATATAGTGAATTTGGACAGTTGAGGGGAGAGGTTACAGCGTGCTTGGAAACAAAGTTATTTAAGTAATAAGGTGAGGCATAACCTAGATATAGATTGTCCTATGACCTCTTGTTTTTTTTTAATACCTGCAATTAAGCAGCAGCTAACGAGCCGGAGGCAGATGGGAATGCCGACGGAGTGGACGACATGACGAAACAGCTGGAGAAGCAGGCTGTTGAAGACAAAGACAAGGATGACGATGGAGAGGAAGGCAAGTGATTAAATACAGCATTAGCCTGATTTTCTCAAAAACTCTGTTGTAACAAATCAAACTGGATAAAGCTGCTTTTTAAGAGAATTCTTAGTTTGACAGTCCATAACATAGCGCTGGCAGGTTTCAATGTTGGTTTTCAACCTTCAACCTGATTTGTTTTTCACCAAAATGGTGCCAGTCACACTTAACATATTTTTGTGGTTCCCTGTTTTGTTCTGTTGTTTGGCATTGCGTACCATTACAGTCAGGCTCATGGGTCCTGCTGAATGTTACTCTAGAAGGTTTGAGGCTGGCTAAAATCTTGATTGCAATGAAACAAACGTTTTGAAACATGCTACATGTGCTTCAGGCAATGGTTAAATCAATAGCAACTAGCAGATGTCAGGGGTTCGAGTCTGGGTCATGTCATTTACTGGCTGTGACTGCCTGGTGCCTGCGGTCTGGCAGTGCTAGTGAGGGATGTACTGGTCTGTGATACTGAGTCTCCTGAACGTTGTTATGTTGCCAATAAAGTGTCAAAAGAGTAATGGCTCAAGGACTGGGAGAGTCTGAGTAGTCTTTTTTTCTTCTGTCTGCCTGGGTGAGTACAGACGCCATGGCTCTTCGCTGAGACGTGAAACATATTTTGCAATTCACAGCTGAGTGGTGTGTAACAAAATATTGTCAATTTTAAATGAAAAAACACCGGCCAGTCACAAACAGGGGTTAGGAGTTTCTCGTGACAAAATGCTACTAAGCTTGATTCCTACAAGCGACATTGGAATAAAAGCTATGGGTGTTTACACAGATGGAGAGGAAGGGGAAAACTCTGCAGGAAAGAAGAAAAAGAAGAAGAAAAAGAAGAAAGGACGTAAGTTTTGCTCCTGTTCCATTAATACATTTTCTGCAAGTTTATAATGATGATGATGATGATTAAGATAATTAATTAAGCATTACTTCAATGAAAATAAAATGCTCCCAAATTCTGTAAAATGTAATTTTGGGGGGAAAATGTGAGATGATAGGAAACCTAATAGAATATTACATTTGCTTAGACTTTGATTGATGTCATGTACACGTTTTACCTGTATTGCTATGAACATCATACTGCGTTTCTAGTATTGTGTGAGGTAGAGGTTAGTGTCCTCAGTATATCTCCTGCCTGAAACTGTTTTGATGAAATTGCCCTGGTTCAGAATCTGTCATCTTACCGTCCCCACCAGTAATAACTTTCTGACAACTGTGTTTTATATAAAAGGCGTCGGCGTCAAATGGTAGTCGGGGTTCTGGTCTCATAATGAGAAGATCGTCAGTTCAACACTCTTTGAGTTTTACCTTTGAGCAAAGTACTTTACCCCAACTGCTTCAGTCCAGCTGGTACAAATGAGTACCAGCACTGTTGGTGGATAATTTCTGATGTTTTCATTTTCTGTTACTGGGGGGGGGAATTCATATACTCTGTGTGCTTCAAAACTGGGATAAGTCTTTTTATATGTCGTCTATTGGCAAGAGCTCAAATTTTAAAAGGGAATTTATAGCAGCGGAGATGCATGGACTGAGTTATGTCTGGCACCATGCAGTATTTTTAGATACCAGGTCAGATTGTGGTATGCATGACAATGAGATGATGAAATGTAATTTAATGTTTTAGCAGCTACAGAATCAAATATGATTCTGTATTTTACAGTTCTGTGCTTTTTTGATTATACACTATATATACAGGATGGTTTGAAGACACTGCTTGTGTCTGATTGTCTAGACATGATTCCAGTCTTTAAAGTAATAGTTAAATGTGTTGAAGAAAGTGTTATTTGTATGGAACTTACTCTGCATATGAATGCCACACCTACATATTCTCTTCCCAGCTTATTCTTGTCTAATTCTTTATCTAATCTTAACAGTAATTTAAAAAGTGAAATCACTGTGAAATAATGCATTATTCCTTCAATTAAACAGCTTTCCCCACATCTGTAAGTGTATGTTACTGTCAGTGTATCTGCTTGTGACCTTAACACTTTGTGCTGTTGAATTTCTAATGTTCTCCATAGTATAAAAAATCTTAAATTTAACTATGCAACCTTCAATAATTGACTGCTAGAAATTAAGGATATGAAGCTCTTGTAGGGAAATCTGGATAGTCATGCATACTTTTACAATTTTAAAGCATTATTATGCTTGCTATATAATATATCCATTGCTTTTCCTATTCAGCTCAGTAACCCTTGGCTGTGATTCAGTAGCTTGAATTGAAGCTACACAAACATGTCCCAGCCTGGCTGATAAAACCAATGATCATGTTAGAAGCATAAAGGAACAGAGGATTTCTCAACACCAAATCAAAGAAGTAACAGATTTGTTAAATGTATTTACTGCATTTTCATTTTATGTTTTTTGCACATTTGACAAGGTTGCTGTAGAGAACCGATTTGGATATTTATATAAGTAGCAAAATCAGACCAAATGGACCTCTAAACGGGTAATATACTTGGTAATTAATATATAGGTATTATACCTTCTACACAGTAGGATTTTTCCTATCAGTACAGAACCTGCACCCCAAATTACTGTGACTGTAACATTAATCATTTTAAAAGTGTGTGCATGTTTTTTAAAGGTGTCATGATCTACGGATTACACGAGGGAACAGTTTTTCATACAGCAGCACCCTTATAATTCCACAAATGCGTGCAATCATGAGTCAGGGTTGGTGCAATTAAACATGTGACAGCATGTGAAGCTCATCTTCCTGGTTACAAGGATGATGGTACTGTGGAATCAAAACAACAGTCACTGTAAAGAAAGAGATGAGCTTTCCATGGACTGAAATCTGCAAGGGCAGAAATTAGCGCTTTGATATTAATAAGTTACAGGTGCATTCTAAATTTAAGAGATACCTGACAATTTTAGACCCCCTTTTAAGGGAGTCATTTGGAAATAATATTGAGAGTATTGACAACCCTCATCAGGCTGTTGGGTTCAGTCAATAAAAATAGTGTGACTTTACATAAGTACACATGTATACAGGTACAGAGGGTAGGGATCTAGTAAAAACAGGTTCATTTGTTTCAGTTATAAACAAAATTTCCTATGGATGGGCCTTTTTCTTAACACTAGTGGTATTTGTGTATCTTTTTTTTTAGGCATTTTATGTTCCAGAAATTGAAAACTAAGAAAATATCAAGTTGGATTTTTTCCAACTTTTACCACATTACGAGTGGTGTATGACTAGTGAATAGCAATGTGGATTTCAGTGTTATGTAGGTAGATGTACGAAAAGGCCAGATTTGGTCAATTTAAGCAGTCCCATGAGTGTACAGAAATGAGTGCAGCCTCTTTTTCTCCTTGCAGCCAAGATGCAGACTGATCCACCTTCAATTCCGATCTGTGAGCTCTATCCCAGTGGAGTCTTTCCAAAGGGACAAGAATGTGAATATCCAACGACGCAAGATGGGTAAATAATGTGAATGTGATGGGTTTTTTTGGTGAAGGTCAATAGAACCAGCATTTACACTGTACTTCTGATCTCTGCTGCAGTCGGAGTGCTGCCTGGCGCATGACTAACGAAGAGAAGAGAGTGTTGGATAAGGCCAGTGAAGAGATCTGGAACGACTTCAGACAGGCAGCAGAGGCTCATAGACAAGTCAGAAAGTATGTTATGAGCTGGATCAAACCTGGCATGACTATGATTGAAATCTGGTGAGCCATGTTTTTCTCCCTTATTATTTTAGTTCTTCTACAGTGTGTGTTATCTTAGGTCATGGCAATTTCAAGGATAAATGATACAGCATTACATGACCTATACAGACTATTTCGGTTGTGATCAAGTTGTCATATTTTCGGTCCTTAAACAGATAAACAAACTTCATATAGTCTTGACCAAATGTAACAAGTTAATTTACTATAATAGCACTTTTCCATTTGAAAAAAGATGCGTTAATGCTTAGTGACATCCTTTTTACATAGATTACTTTTAGTATTTCTTGAGGTCTATCCCAAGGTGGGTCTACATAATTGTTTGGCACTAAGGAAAATCACGACCAGTATATTTAATATTTTTATCAGTAGATGTAATGCGTTTTAATTTAGCACAATTTTTCTTTCGGTTTCCTTTCTATTGCATTAGATTCATACCAGCCATACTTTTCATAACATGATCAATACTTGTATTCTAGCGAAAAACTAGAAGACTGTTCCCGGAAATTGATCAAAGAGAATGGTTTGAATGCAGGCCTGGCCTTTCCCACTGGCTGCTCATTGAATAACTGTGCTGCTCACTATACCCCCAATGCTGGAGACCCCACAGTCCTGCAGTATGATGACGTCTGCAAAATAGACTTCGGAACGCACATAAATGGTCAGTTGGAAGCTGGAATAACACACAACATATCGCCTTTCACTTCAAATGTGCTTGCTAATTCAGTCTGCCTACATTTCCTTAAATATTAAGTTTCTTGTGAATTGTTTTTCAGTGTATACATACAAAATATAAACATTTAATTGTTGTGTAAATATTTGATTCGGGCAGTCAGGATTATTCTGACTAGCCATTTTACTTCTTGAAATGCAGATTGGATGTACAGGATCTGTTTTTAACAGGGATTGGGTTAATGAAACCTTTGAAGTTAGAAAAAAAATGTTGGTGGTGGGGATTAAGCAAAGTATTTTAATGCTAGAGCATTGGGAAACTGTACTTTAGTTAACTTATGATATTTTGTAACTCCTTAACCATAAAGGAAGAAAATGTCAGTAGGTTTCAAACATAAAGCCAGCAGTGATGTACTATGAACACTGTATTTATAATTGGAATTGTTTTTGCAGGTCGTATCATAGACTGTGCTTTTACTGTTACATTTAACCCAAAGTACGATAAACTTCTTGAAGCAGTGAAAGATGCCACTAATACAGGAATCAAGGTGAGTGTGATAAACCATCTGTTCATGTTAAAGAGCTTGGTTATTCTTGGCTGCAGTTTCTATACAACTCAGAAATAAAATCAAGTCCTTACAAGTTCAGCTTTGTTATTGCTCATTTACCAAAATGTGGTTAAGTGTTCCTTGTCATTTGTAAAGACATTCTTCTGAAGTGAGTTGTTCAGTTGTTGCTACTTAACTCTCAATTTGTTTTTTTATTAAGTGTGCTGGGATTGATGTACGCCTGTGTGATGTTGGAGAAGCTATACAGGAAGTCATGGAATCCTATGAGGTTGAGATCGATGGAAAGACTTATCAAGGTACACATCTAGTTACAAGTATTTTTGTGTTTCTCTCACTAATACAGTATTGTACAACATAATGCAAAATCTACTGTTTCCCTATGTCTTGACATAAGAATTGAAACTGCCTAGAATGATACAGATCAGGATAAAACGACTTCATGTAATGGTGAATTTAATTTGCATTGCTCTCCAAATGCCTTTGCAATGTCTCCAAATGCCACAAAACATACTTTACTTTTAAGGAATATATGAATATAAGAACATATTCTATTTTAGAATGGATTATGCTGTAGACACTGTGATGCATGCATTGCTTCTGTGTTTTTTAATGAGTGTCATATTCTTGGCATAACTGGATATGCTGCATAATGTCTTTCAGTGAAGCCAATTCGGAATTTAAATGGCCACTCCATTGGACAATACAGGATACATGCTGGCAAGACTGTCCCCATTGTCAAAGGAGGGGAAGCAACAAGAATGGAGGTAGTTACTGCCAGGAAAACTATTTCAAAATTATTTTTCTTAGATCTTTACAAATCTGAGGAATCTGCTTAGAAAAGTATACACAGGATAATTCATTAGACCTGGACTAGTGGGTCAGGGCTCAGGAAGGTGGTGAGTTTGAGTACAAAGTATGGGACTGTTGTATGTCCCTTGAGCTACGTGACACACTTGGGTGTCTTCATAAAAATGCCCAGCTGTTTAAATAGGTACATATGGAGGTCACCTTGGATAAAAGCGTCTGTCTTTTCATTCCATTGTCGGAAAACAGCTTCTTCTGGTAAAGACCTGGGAAAAGCACAGGTTATCCCAGAGCATACGGGGTGCACTGTAGACTACACTTGGGTGAGACGTGAGTGTGGTGCAGAGCATACTTGCATGCTCAAACACATATTTATACTTTGGAGGTGGCAGGACCTGGCGAAAACTTGAAGTCTAGGGCCTGTTTTTTTAGAAATTTTCGACCTTGGAAGCAGCAGTTTAGCAGCAAGGCTCCTTCACCGTTATCAGTTGAAATAAGTTGCCATCTTTAAGCTGTCCTGTGATACTGTTTTTGAGAAGTTAATAACTAATTTACTTTATATACAGTGCCTTGCAAAAGTCTTCAGACCCTTGACCAATTCTCTCATTTTACTGAATTACAAATCCTACATTGAAAATTTCTCTGTGATATTTTTATTTCTAAGCACTGAAACACAAAATTAATTATTTTTACGTGACATTGTTTTATGTTAGAAAATATTCTTAAGAAAAATAAAAAACTGAAATATGCTGTTCGCATAAGTATTCAATCCCCACATTTTACTATTTTGTAGAGCCACCCTTTGCAGCAATAACAGCTTTAAGTTATTTGGGTTAAGTATGTACCAGCTTTGCACACATTCTTCCAGGCAGATTTACTCCAGGTTGTTGTTCATCGCAATTTTGAAATAGTGCCACAGATTCTCAGTTGGATTGAGATCAGGGCTTTGACTGGGCCACTGTAGGACATTTGGCTTTTTGTTCTTGAGCCTCTCCAGTGTTACTTTGGCCTTGTGTTTGGGATCATTGTCCTGCTGAAAGATGAACTTTCTCCCAAGCTTCAGTTTTTTAGTGACTGAAACAGGTTCTCTTGCAGTATTTACCTGTATTTTGCACCAGACATTCTTCCTTCTATTTTAGCAAGATGCCCAGTCCCTGCTGATGAAAAGCAGCCTCACAGCATGATGATACCACCACCATACTTCACTGTAGGTATGGTGTTTTTTTAAGTGTGGGCAGTGTTAGATTTGCGCCACACATATCGCTTTGAAGTTTGGCTAAAAAGCGCTTTCTTGGTCTCATCTGACCACAAAATCTTTTGCCTCATCGCAACTAGATGAGAGATAAGATAAGATCACTTTATAAGCCATCTACAATTTCTTGCATTAGGGATTCATCTTTTTGCATACCCCAGCTTGCTCTCCATGGGACACACAGACAAGGAGAGAAGCTTGGGGTAAGAGCGCAGGGTCAACCATTGTACAGCCCCCCTGGAGCAGCTGGGATTAAGGGCCTTACTCAGGGGCCCAACGGAGTAGGATTCCTCTGCCGGCTGCAGGATTTGAACCGGCAACCTTCTAGCCACAGGCACAGATCCTTAGCCACAGAGCCACCGCTCCGTCCCTGCGTCACTGTCATGTTTTTTGGCAAACTCCAGATGTGCCTTCACGTGGTTCTTTTTCAGTAATGGCTTCTTTTGTGCCACCCTCCCATACAGGCCAGAGTTACGCAGCGCTCTTGTTTGTTTGACTGCTGCACCTTTACTCCACTCTCTGTGGCTTCTCTCACAAGTCTCCTTGTTCGTGCAGAGTTTTGAGGGACGACCTTTTCTAGGCAGTGTCTGGGAGGTTCGATATAGCTTGCACTTCCTGATAATTGAACCAGCAGTGCCCACTTTTGTTTTGTACGGTTTTCCTAATTTATGCACTTGTTTTACTTTATAAAAAGTAAACCTTTAACTTCTTTGGAATGCTCTTTAGTCTTCATTTTTACAGCTGTCCTTCAGATTCACAACCTAAATAATGATCCCTTAACTGTGGGGTTTTTATCCAGAAAATGCGGCAGTTATTTTAACGATTCACAGGTAGAGGAGAATTTAAAGGCAATTGTGACGTTTTTAACATAAACAATGTTGCATTAAAATAATTAATTTAGAGTTTCAGGGCTTAGAAATAAAAAATAGAACTACATTTCAATGTAGGATTTGTAATTCAGTAAAATGAGAATTATTCAGACCCCTGACCACTTTTGCAAGGCACTCTATATACCTCTTTTTACTAATTGTTAATTGTTTATGGAAAAAACGATACTAAGAAGCACGTGAATTGTTACTTGTATTTCGAGTAATGAAAGCCAACTTTGAAACTATGAAGAAGTGATGCAAAGAAAAATTTCGAAACCTCCTCCAAATGTAGAGGAAGACTGCGCGTTCAAGTTGTTTCGTATTTAGTGTCCTCGTCACCTTCCACTAACTAGCATGGGTGAGAGCTAGCACAGAGCCTACAGAGTGACATGAGAGACATTCGATAGAGCTCACCCCATCTTGCTTCATGCATTGTTCTTTGTGTTTGAATATTTGTGGTTTAGACTTTAACATGGACCTCAGAGGTGTTAAGAAAATGAGAATTTGTAAGTGTGTGTAATTACACAAAAAGAGAATGAAGTGGTATGATTAATGATGTCTAGCTAGGTACGCAGTTTTTTTTATTACTAAAAACACTACCTATAGTGTTACTTATTGTTTCTTTTGTCACTTTTAGTGAAAAAAGTAAAAGTTGGGGTGATGTTTTTGGGGTCCGGAACAGATCATAATTTTAACCATTAAGAAATAATGGAAGTAGGTTTTTCTTTTTACGAATTTTTGCTATATGAATGTGTTTCTGGGAAAGAGTTATGTTCATAAAAAGAGGTACGGATATACACGATTAGTCTTATTAGCCTTTGACAAAGATTTTATATTACCTTTTAACATAATGCAATACTTTATAATTTTTTAGATATCCAGTTGTTCTAACCCAATTTTGAGCCATTATTTTCTTAGAGAAAACGGCTAAATGTGGGTGGAGTTAAGTAGATTTAGATTAACCTTAATAAATCTTATTGTTGGTATCTATAAATGAGGGATTGCATGTTCAGTGCTCATCACTGATACTGTATTGGTTTAATTCCTGTTTACCGATTTAATGTCATTCAAGCATAATATTCTGTATTATCGTTTCTAGGTTAGCATCACAAAAATCCTATTTACGAAAATACGTAAACACATCACTACTGACATGGAGGCTGATATTTGGATTGCAGCTTTTACACCTCTAGTACCCACATAGTTGAGGCTTTATTGTAACTGCAAATGACTCTGATTGCAGTTGTGTATAACTTTTGTAAGATTTCAAAATCTTCCATTTAAGCTATATTGTAGCACTAGTTTGGCTTTGATCTCTAGAATACAGAAAGGTAACAAGCGAAAGGAGGCCATTCAGTTCATCTAGCCTATATGGTAGCATCTACCTGATCCAAGAATTTCATCTGGCTGATTATTGAAAGAACCCAGTCTGTGTTTTGACAACATGGCTGGGTAGCTTGTTCCACAGTTCTGTGTAAAGACGTAGCTCCTGTTCTCTATTTTAAAAGTGCTTTCACACAGTTTTTACTCATAAATTCTTACAAGTGGGATTTGTGTTCTGTTGATTTTAGGAAATTCCACCGAGAAGAGTTTGTATATACCTTTGAGGATTTCCAAACCTTGATCAGGTCCGCTTGTAGTTTTTACTGTTTACTTTGCAGAATGCTGGATTTGAGGTTGGCTTGTTAAATAACTTTGACTCAACAGTAAATCCAGAAAACCTGAAAAAAAATGTTTGAGACATGAGGGAAATAATATTGCACAGTTGGATTCTAAATAGTCTAGGTAAATTAGGCTCTGAGGGGTCCGTTTTGTTTTTCTACAGATTGACAGCAGCGTTTTCAAAGGTTTAGTTTAAATAACCCTAGTTCTAGTTATATTCTTTACATCACTATGATTCTACTCACTCAAAGGAAACCCTTCTTATTTTTTCTTTGTCAGATTGTTGAAGAGCAGACGACATGAGAAATGACTTAACATTAATTGCATGGGTGTATTGGAGGTTTGATTTCTGTATTGTATACAATTTGATTTTATTGAGGTTTGATAATTTTTTCTTTCAGGAAGGAGAGGTCTATGCTATAGAAACATTTGGAAGCACAGGAAAAGGAGTTGTTCATGATGACATGGAGTGCTCACACTACATGAAGAACTTTGATGTTGGACATGTGCCAATCAGGTTTGTTTCATTTTAAAAGATGAAGCTTTTTATCAGCTTCTCTAGGTGCACCTGATGTTAAAGGACAACGGTCATTAATGCTTAAAGCATCTTTAACAAGTTTTTTTGTGCTACAAAGAAGACTTTCCATGTTTTAAAATACATTTAGAATTTAAAAGGTCAATTACATGTCCTTGTAACCCAAAAGACACAAATAGAATTTGCCATTAATCCATCAGGTTTTTTTGTGGTGTAATCCCACAAGCAAGCCTCATTAGATTGGTGACTGATGTTTAAAAATAAAAGGTACGTTGATGTTTATAAATGAATCTTTAAACGTCATCTGTTTGACTTACCTTTCAGACTCCCAAGGGCTAAACACTTGTTGAATGTGATCAATCAGGACTTTGGCACTTTGGCTTTCTGCCGCCGCTGGCTGGATCGTCTGGGAGAGACAAAGTACCTTATGGCACTGAAGAACCTTTGTGACTTGGGCATAGTGGATCCATACCCTCCTCTCTGTGACATGAAGGGCTGTTACACAGCACAGTTTGAGCACACCATATTATTGCGTCCAACGTGCAAGGAAGTTGTGAGCAGGGGAGATGATTATTAAGTTCGGCTTTTTTGTTCCCTGACAAGCTTTTTCTCACTTTGCTTTTGCAGAAAGCGGCACAAACTAATTCATGTGCTGCTCAGTGTCTGTCTGAGGGGTCGACTTTGTATCATATTTACCATGTTTGAATTGAACAGCGGAATATTTGACAGTATGGTTTTTAATATGCTTTATTGCATTTACAAAAATAAATGATGCTGCTTCCTTTCAAATGGGAAGTTAAATAACATATAACTTATGGCTGTAAAGTTTGGCTTTTATTGCAGTTGGAGAGGGGAGTATTTTGCAGAATTTGCATTCCGCTTGTATAAGTATTTATATTTTCCCTGACACTTCCAAATTCTTAGTAACTGCTAATTCTAACACCTGTGACCATTGTAGGAATTTGTTTTGAACTCCCAGAAACCTTTTTGTAAAACTAGATGAAAATAAAAATCTTTTTTTGTTCAGATTTTTTCAAGTTTTTTTTCCCCCCAATATGACACTTATTTTATGACAAAGACATCCACTGGCAGAGAATGCAATTTGAAGTGTGATACTATTGTTATACACTGCTATAAAAAGTAAACCTGATCAATAAGCCCTGAAGTTGCCCACAGTTGTAATAATATAGTTGAAGTCATTGTAAAAATGTTTGATGGCAGAAATGAGAATATTTTTTAATGATAGGGAAGATACACTTTTAAATGAGACGGGTGCATTTTGGAGGAAGTATGAGACAAATGGTGTACTGTCAATTGGAAATTTAATTGGTACTTAATGGTGTACTGTCAATTGGAAATTTAAAAAATCAAATATCATCCATTGAGGGTAAACATCGTGCGGATCATTACTGATTTTTTGTCCTGGTTTTAACTAGTATACCTAGGGTTAAATACCTATAAGGGTTTAGTAGAGAGAAACAGGATTTTAGTAACATTTAATATTCTGGCTCACTGCCAGTTTTATGAAAAACTCTATTACACATTTTTGTTTTTAATGTAAAGGGAATTAGAGTGGTGACATCTGGACACATTAAATTATTTTAAGTATCCCCCCCCAAAATACTCACTTTGTATCATGGCAGATGGTTGAGTCTATTTCCTTGCCGTTTCCCCTTAATCTTCTTTTGCTGGGATGAGCAGGCGTGCAGGGACATAATGCCCACGTGACTGGCTTGCTTGCAGTACCTCTTTGTCAGTGTGATTTGCGCAGTTTCACAATCCTGTGGTATTTACTGATTCATAGATTAATGTGGCGGCATAGAGACTGTAATGTAGGAACAGTGTGGTTAAGGTTGTGTTCGTGATCTTGAATGCATGATATTTCCATTTAAAATGTTCTCTTGATTTCTCACATCCATTTAATGGGAGGAATTTCAAATAGAAATCTTCCTACTAAGAAAAAGATTCACTTTTGCTGATTTAATTTTCTATTTAATCTGTTCATACGTTATGGTAATAAGGGGGTGTTTAAATATAATGTTGCACAATGAAAATGCAGCACAATTGGGTATTATTTCCTTTTTAAAATCAGGAGCAGTCGCGTTTGCTGTGAGTTGTCAAAATCGCCCAAATTAAGTTGATAAATGCCTGTTCAAAAAGACATTGTTTAGCGAGAACAATGAATGATTTAACTATGCCTTGCTGGAGTGAGGAACACTATGAGATCCCATGTGAGTGAATTTGCCTGGAGAACAAGATGTTCTACTTCAACAATCAGAAGACTTTTCTAGAGAGAAATAGCTATGAGGGAGAGGCCACATCCTAGTAGGCAGACTCAACACTGTCCAGGGACTGTCAAAATCTGTGATAATTTTTGGACTGTAACAGCTACATCATGAGATATTCCAAGAAACCAGTACATCTGATCTGAATCACTGTGGACTGTGTCCTGTGTGAAAATGGTCTAAATGTTCAGAGATCACTTAGCAATTCAGTTGAGACCAGAGAATCATTGCAGTCTTCTCTGCAGGCCGGGGAATATCTGAGCTGGTAGCTGAAAGAGTAATAGAGTGTTTTATATACTGATGAATGCAATTTTGCTCTTGATAGATGTGACAGGAGACAACATTTTTAGCGATATCATGGTGAATATAATGGAATATAATCTCTTATATCACAAGAGTGACTTTTGGCGTACACTGACTCAGTGCTGTCTTATTGCTCAGTCACACACAGTACTTGACCCAACAGTTCTTGTGCAAGCCAATCCGAACGTATTCATGTTCCAGTAGGACAATGGGAGACCACACGGTGCTAGGATTACAATGGCATGACTGCAAGGTCTTCATGGTCAACAGTCAAGGTCTTGCCTTGGCTAGAACCTGAGCTCAACAGGAGATTACTGCTGCCTGCGCGCCTTCACCAGCTGGCTTGTAGTTACACAGGAGTGGCCCACAGCAATTTAACCACAGGCTGATGAGAATATTTTGGATTAATGCCCGATACTAACATTTCATACTAAAAAATTATCATGATGCTTTGATCTGTGCTTTGTTTAGAAATTGTGATTTTAATGCGTGTCTTAAGTGTAATGATGCAATCAGAGATGAATGTGGTTTCTATTATCAGCACAGGTGTGAGCATGACATGAAAACGGAAAGCATTGTACCTTTAATTTCTGGGCTTTTTAGGCTTTTCACTGCTTGCTGTTTTCTTTAAATCAACGTGGTCTGAGAACATGAACTATGTGCATAAAGTAGTACCTATGATTACACAAAACATTTTTTTTAACATCTGTATTCTAATATCTAATAATTGATCTTGGCTGATGCGCTGCCAAGTGAGCCTTTCAGCTTCCCAGGGTGCTTGCAGGAGTGCAGTGCTGTCTGTGAGGGACGCTCCTCTCCTCCAGTAGTGCACCTCCTGAATGGGGCTGTGCTGCTTGAGAGGTGTAAAAAGGCGAGTGGCTCGAGAGTGGACTGGTCAGATGGGTCTGACTCACACATCCTCTCCCGTGTGCGACAACAGGGTTTGTAGCTCTAAGCCGAGATGTGAAAAACACGCAACTGGCGATTTCAAAACAAGTGGGCAGAACAAAAAGTAACTGGCGTGGTCTCGTATGACAACGGTCAACATGAATGGGCTCATTACTCTGTGTGAACATTTGGCCAAGTTTAAACTGAGTATGCTGCATGTTTGTTTTACTTGCAAAAATATTTAAATTACTGGAAAATTTAAAAGTAATTGTGAATGTATGATTTCTTTAGATTTCAGAAGTCAAGAAATATCACAAGGATAACATTTCTGCATACATACCATGAAGACTAGTCACACCTGAGCAAATGTAACCACTAGTGGAAGTGTTTATATTCAAAGTATAGGTGTAGATTATCAAAACAAGTACTTTGTATGCATTAATCCATTTGAGCAGGTTTAATATATTTACTGAGCTTCTTATTTGATATAGTAGAGAGGATATATTTTTTTGTTTTTGTTTTTTGATAACCTGCACTTCCGTCTTCTGATTACAAAACATTTTGGGAGAACCCCTTCTATAAGAAGACAGGAAGTGACAAGAATCATGTCAAGTCTGAAAAATTATTTTGGTTGCACTGGACATATTCTATTTTTGCTTGTGTAAACGGGGGTTATTTTTCTGCTTTCGTTAAACATTCTTAACCACTCTATTATGACAACCAATTTCTCTTACACTTGCTTAGAAAAGTGTTGTTCACAAGCCTCAAAAGGAAGGTTCATCCAAGATTCACAGAAACTCTTCAGTGTGCTGTTCCATCACTGCAATACTTTCTAGTATTAGGCTTGCAATGTGCCCATGTCAGTGATGGGTACACAACTGAACAATCCAACTCTTTCGTGTGGGTTTATTAAAACTGTTTGCTTACACTAGAGGAGTATGGCTCTGAACACAGAATGTCTGATATATTAACTGACTAAAAAAACTAGGTAAAGCATCAAATTAGCTGCTTTGTGTGAAGTTAGTGTATAAAGAAAATGCTAGGTTATTGAGAGTATTAAAATGAATCTCGATACTTCCAACACCAGTCTACATTGGAGCAGTAAATCTTAAGTGTGTTCATCTTGCATAGTCACACATACTGTACTGTAGCTTTTCTGCTCACTTTTCCCTGGTTTGCTAAAAGCAAAATGCTCCTTAAAATTTTTCTATACAAAGATAACTCTGGGAAACTTGTGTCTGGAGATAAGGCAATAACCACCTATCAGAAAGGTAAATAATTGCATATTAAAGATTAAGTCTTGTGTTTGTGTAAGGAGATCCAAGGTAAACTGCCCTTTCCTCAAGTCTCAGAAATGTTCCTTAATTTGCAAAAATAATAATAATGATGATAATAATAATACTTGACGTTTACATCTTAAGTGATCCAATTAAACTTAGAAGTAACTAAGTGACGTTGTTAACTGTAATAGACTTTCAGATCTGTTTTTAAACCTCTGAATTTTATTTAATAAAACAATTCCTAGGGTCACTTGACCATGTGATTGGGCTTATGTACATGCCATTTTAAAACTGAAACACCACACCAAAGCTATATAGTACATTTTTTAAAACAATGAAAAAAATACACTTTTGGTATTAAAAATATACAGAACAGTACAAAGGATGCAAGTGAGTCGGTAAGTTAAAAAAATGTAAAAATATTCTCATTTATTGAGGTAAATTTCTCTAAAGATTGAGGTAACAATTTGCATAGTATTACTTCCATAAATTTACATCAGAAAACATACTAAACACTTTAATTTTTACAAACATTTGGAAAAATCTAATATTACAATGCTGTGCTTGACTGTTCCTAGTTAACTGCTGATGTGTAAAAGAACCAGACTGGAAATCAATGGCGAAACGGAGCTACATCCTTCAAATGTGCTTCACACCTTCCAGCATGTAACAAGAGAAAATTAAAATTAAACAACGTTTTATACATCATACCCACATTCATTTTTCTGAAATTGCCAAGCTAAATCAGTATGAAAGTCCAACCCTCCTGAAATGAAAGCTTTTTCTGTAGGTAATACTTGGGAGACATGCATTTTTAATCAACACAAGCAAGAAAGTTGGAACTTTTTGGAATTGTCCAGGCCCTGTGGAATTTACCGCAACTAAAGCCAACACATCCATGCTTTAATGAAAGTGTGGTGTTATGACGAATTCTAAATGCTTTCACAATGTAGTCTGCAATGAAAACCAAAGACAAAAGTAATGTACCGTATAATGCTTAAGACTGAAGAGAAAAGTTGGCCTTTATTAAAGATTATGACAATGGTGGACTAATTCATTTCTCCGACAACTCAGAAGACAAAAAAAGCTGTTCATGAAGGGCACTCTTCATAGCTACTGCTATCCAACATCAGTTTGGTAGCAATAGATGTTATTAAAGAGGATGGAGGGTGCTATCTTCTGGTATTAAAGTGCAAATGTTTATGGAACTTTTAATGAACTTTCAAAAACTAGTCATCCTCATTCTTAATATTAAAAATAATTATTGTAATCAGAAAATTGGGAAAGGGTGAAGACAGAAAAAATGTGGATTACAATGACATTTTATTTCATCTTGTGTATGGTCCTGTTAGCATGCTGAAATGCCACTAACACTCTGCAAGTCAATTTGATCTTACTGAAACGTATCCAAGATCAAATGCACGTTTGCACTGTGCAATTATAAAAAAAACTGGCTAAAAGAACAAGGGAAACTATTCACAATGAAACAATACTATGGACATTACTGGCAGAAACAAAGCTGCCATCTTAAACAAGCTCAGACATTCGCATCAGTAAACCCTCCCAGACATTTTATAAAACAGTCTAAAATACCAAATACTTTGGTTTAAAAACAAGGAATCAACATTCTTACATTAATTACTGTTTTAGGTGCACTGCAGGGCTATATTCCCTTGGCAGAATACTGTCCATCTGCAGTGCAACATAGTATATCTCCATAGTAAAACTTTTTTTATGCAAAAAGGAAGTGATGAATCCCAATACACATTTGTAACAAAATAATAAGTAATGTTAGGGGCTTGAAACATAACCTATATTCCAGACTTTCTGCACTTTCTGCAATTTACAAGTTCACAGTAAATTAGATTGTTTAGCTATAAGGCAAGTATTTTGATATGTTTTGAATGCATTGTAAAATTCATGAAATGAATGCTTTGAACAATACTTAAAGCAAGAAAGAATTTGAAACTGCCCAAACCACACAGAGATTTGACTGTTAGATTTCCAAGGTCTTTAACATTTGCCACATGCATCTCAGTGTTTTTCTAATTGCTTTCAAAAATCAATTACTGTACACTATTATTTTTTAAAAAGTTTACAAATTTGATACAAAGCATTATAAACATCATGTACACAAATTCACAAGAGGAGCTGTTTAAAACATGTATCCAGTATTTATGAAAAAAAATACAAAAAAAGTCCATAAAATATCCCCAAGACAAAGGTCTTTGGGTGTGCTGATGTTTTGGATGCAGATCTGTTGCAGTGTGGTGCTGGTGTTGGAGACTGGCCTTGGGGGGCATCTTCTAAAGGGATTTTCCTTTGTCCTGAGAAAACCGCTGGGTATAAAACAGGATGTAGGCCTGTGCCTTGCAAACTTCATCCACAGTGCAGATGTTTAACTTGGAGTCATTGCAATGCACCCAGAACCCTGAGGAGAGAAAGCAACACTTTTTACAACGAGATTGGGATTTCCGTGCTAATCACACCTTTTCAGAGTAGCCCTGCTTCTGTGAACGTTTCCTATAATCTCTGTAAGCAATAAAATCCACCCTCAAAAATTGGATTTTGACATTTTAATTTCCTAGTTTAAAAGAGAAGATCACTTTATTGGCCATATACAATTTCTTGTATTAGGCATTTGTCTTTTCGCATACCCCAAGCGTCTTTCCCTGTCTGTGTGTCTCATCGAGAGCAAGTTGGGCTATGCGATAAGAAATTCCTAATACAAGAAATTGTATATGGCCAATAAAGCGATCATATCTTTAAAACCAAGGAAATGAAGTACCTCTTTGTAAGATAAGGTCTTATCTTATAAAGAGGTGCCTCTTTTCCTTCCACGTAGTTTCCACAGGTGTCCTCTGGTTTGTATGTAACACAAGTTGTTAAAAGTGGTTTAAATTAAATGTATATGTCAAATACAAGTTTTAGACTTTAAAGTCGCATCTGAACTCATTTAGATGCTATTTTGGTAGTGCTGACCCGCTCATCTTAAATGTTGACAACCGCACAAGCATGTTGGGGTCCCACCTTAAAACTGCCCCTAGATTAAATCCAAATTGTAGCCATTAGTACGACAGCTCACGTAGAAGAGGACAGCCAAAAGATGTTTCTGCAGTGACATGACCAAATATGCAAATGAAAAACGTTCTCTCTTCCGATGTCCTATATTAATAAAGAATTGTATACAGTCCACAAATCCCTGGAGATGATTGTAATTGTCACTTGAGTTGCTGTGCATTTAAAACAGGACTTGCCAGTAGGGTTCAGCTGTTTTAATTTGCAAGCTATTAACAACTTCGCCAGCCAGATTTGTTTTTCTCCGATTTGAATCTTTGCTTTTTTCACATTTTACATCCTCCTAATTAGAAGCCGCCAATTTGTTCATCACCACCTCGCAGCTGCTGTGTGGTGAAAAGAGGAGACGCGTGATGATCAGAGACCACCCAGCTCCAGAAGCCGCACACCTGCCAGAGAGCGCCCCCCGACTGGAGGCGTCAGCACCTGGGCTGCAGAGCAACAGCCTTGCTTCACCACCACGTGGCCCCCTCTCAGCTGGCTCTTAGGAAACCAAAATATTCTGATGCACAAGAGTCTCCCTTTTTAAGTGAAGCCACACCTCAGGTTTCAACTAAAGAAATACCTGAGCTCTGTCAAGTTTCCAGCCATCAAACACTAAAAATTTCTCTTTCCTTTCCAGGGACAGGGAGCATCACCCAGGAGGAATGAATTAATTGGTAGGTATGACACTCGTTATTTAATTAAGGAGGTGTGTAAGTGCAGGGCAACCTTATACTAGCTCTGCATAAACATGATCAAGACAAGGAAGTTGTACCAATAGAATTAGGGAAGAAATAAAAAAAATAAAAGAAAACATTTATTCATTGACATCTTTTAAATAAATTAGAACAGTTGCTGAGATTTGTTTGACGATACACATTTTACTTTTTTGTTAAATAATGTCTTCATTTGATATTGTAACTATAAATACTAGTTTTTATTACCATCTATGTCATTTTTAAACAATGTTTCTGAAAAGACCTGACAACTATTCTTAATTCTATTAAACAGACACAATAGCTAATTATTTTCACCAGCTGCTTCAAATTAAAAAATGTTTGCTAACTCATCTAACAAAAATAATGGTAAAAGGGTAAGTATTCAACAGTTTCAATCTCAAAGAGTGAAAATTGTAAAAAAAACAATTGAACATCACACAAAACAATATTCTGGAATAAATTTATTAAACAATTACAAATTAAATCAAATTTAATTTACAAAAAAAAGCTTTGTTGAATTATTAGAATGGGAATTGATATGAAAATGTGCACTGGAACACATTACCACAAGTACTATAATTTTTAGAAATACTCAGCTATTTTGTAATAGAAATATGAAATACTGCCCCTTTCATCTGCTGAGAAAACATCACTTTGAGGTTAAAATCAGGGCTATAGAATCCTTCTGCCCCATTGAAAGATAAAGAATAACGCTATCCTCCAACACACACAGCATTTCATTTTCAAACCCTCATCTAAACAAAAACCCCAGATATTTCGGATATTCTGTAAACGCTGGTCTAAGCCTGGTCCAGTGCAGGAAAAGTTTAATAAGTGTTTATTTTCTTACAGTTCCTGAAACATATGTGCATTTCAAACAGGACAGAAGGTTTATTTTCACACACCCTCTCAGGATGCCTAAAGACAAGACCCAGACTAAGAGAGGTTACGTCTAAACAGACATAAACAGTTCCTACCAAAGTCTGGGAACTAGCAAGCAAAAGCATTGCAGCACTCACGGCAATATAAAGTACAATCAATGAAAATTCTGCAATGTACTTAAGTGCTCAAAGTCAAAACGTTTTGAGTTAATCATAAATCGATTGTATTTTTGATCAGTGTGGGCATAGTAAGAGCTGAAGAGATGGAAAACTTACCTCCTTCTGTGTTGTAGCAATAGGCAGTGTAATGACCTGAGCCAAATCCCTTTCCATGATGCATTACCACAGCTGATAATTCATATATGAAGCAGTCCGGCTTGAGATTCCCTGTAGAGTCTCTACAGCAATAAGGCTCCATGTTTAATATCTGATCAAAGCTGACATGAACCCCAATCTTCTCTCTGTGATTGCGGCCTGACCACCTGAAAGGGACAGAACATATGCAGCCGATATCCCCGCTGAACTCAAAAGACTTGTTTCAGATTTATAATATTATAATCACTGATGGAAAAAAGCTAAGAAATTTTTTCAGTACATAAATCTTCTCAGCATATTTTCCCTTTATTGGGAAGCGAAAGTAAAAATCCAGTTTATTCTTAGCAACGTCGAAGCAGGAGTAAAGCAGCTTGAAATCGGAATGTATTTTTATTAGCAAGCAGCTTTCGTCAATCCCCATGAACTGCCAATTCGCAATATCTGAGTAACTTTGAAAAATGTTTTCTGAAACATACTAGGATACAGACTGCAGAGCTGAGGAAGAAAAAAAATGCATTCTCCTAACTCTTTACATGAGCAACCCCCCCATCCCCAGAAATAACTACGCCACACTCTCACCTGAAGCGCTTGAGGTGCAGTCTCAAGACCTGAGGCAGTTTGTGAACCATGAGCTGCTTCTGAGCTTCAGTGAGGATGACCGGCTTCGAGGAGAATCGTCTCCGCTTGCCTTAAAACCAGGGGGAGAGATTATTCATTTTGTCTTTTTTAAATGCATCGAAACTATCAATGAAACCAAAGTGTCATTTTGGAAATGTCTGTCAGATTAAAAAAAAAACGCCAGATTAAAAATATTCTCAGTATTAGGAAAATACCACGTTAGTTTGGTTTTTTTGCTTCAGTACTTAATTTTCAAATTGGATAGGCCAGCTATAGATCAAGGCCTCACCTTTGGGAAGTATGCAACCTGAAAAAACATCCAGTTTCTGGAGGAATGAGGAAAACGTGACAACTTCTATACAGGCAAATGAAAAGGCCAAATTTCTAATTGATAAATAATTCCCAGTTTGTTTCTCGCTAATTAGCGTCATGCATGCATTCATGTAACAGATAATAATAATTGCTTACACATATATATCACTTTTCTGGACACTCCACTCAAAGTGCTTTACAGGTAATGGGGACTCCCCTCCACCACCACCAATGTGCAGCATCCACGTGGATGATGCGACAGCAGCCACAGTGCACCAGAAAGCTCACCACACATCAGCTATCAGTGGGGAGGAGAGCAGAGTAATGAAGCCAATTCATAGATGGGGATTAGTAGGAGGCCATGATTGGTAAGGGCCAATGTGAAATATGGCCAGGACGCCAGGGTTACACCCCTACTCTTTTCGAGAAACACCCTGGGATTTTTAATGACCACAGAGAGTCAGGACCTTGGTTTTACATCTCATCCGAAGGACGGCGCCTGTTTACAGTATAGTGTCCCCGTCACTATACTGGGACATTAGGACCCACATGGACCGCAGGGTGAGTGCCCCCTGCTGGCCCCACTAACACCTCTTCCAGCAGCAACCTTAGTTTTTCCCATCCAGGTGCTCACACCTGCTTAGCTTCAGTGGGTTGCCAGTTGTGAGTTGCAGAGTGATATGGCTGCTGGCCATAATATACCAAATACCACAACAGGAAAATAAACAATAAGATGGAAAATGCCAATTCAATTAAATTTACAATTTAGCTTTAACCCTTAGGGTTTTTCCCCACAAAATGAGAGAACGGTGCTGGGAAAACCTCTGAGCCCCTTCTTTTCAGTGCGGCGAATGTATCGGAGAAGGCTGGGCCCAGGTGGCCAAGCCTGTGGTGTGTACATACTCACTGTTGCACTGATCGCAGGCATAGATATTTCCTTCCAAGGCTTCGGTCTCTGTGAACTTGGCCAACATTTCTGTCAGCAAGCAAGGATACTGCGCAGACGTCTCTTTTCCATTACAATGGTATCTCTCTGGAAACTCCAGTGACAAGTCCCAGAAGGGCTCAATGGTATTGGATTTATTGTCACAGGCAAGACACGTCACCTGTCAAAGCAGACAGACAGTCAGAGACTAATACGAGGTCTCCTTGTATGCAGTGGTTGTTTTCCTGCTTTGAATGACCACCTAATTTAGTGAAAATTATTCCATCATCCTCAGTTTAGGATGATTATGATTTTAAATTTTACATTACTACATGTCCATTTTTTAAAACTAGATATCTCACACAGCTGCAGATTAAAAAAAAACACAACCATAAAACCTTCAGGCTAAAATGTAAAACTGCAGGACTGAGCTCTGGGATCAGTAATCAACGTCACCTGCAAACTAGGATTCAGGGACTGATTATGTAAAACTCTCAGCAGTGATACCGCTGCACAAAAAGCAGCTTGTCTTGCCTCAACCAGCAGTGTGTTAACTAGAAAACAATCATCTAAATTGAACAAGGAAATCAGAATACTGCTGTCTATTACACTGCAAACATCTGTCCGATATCTACACTGCACTCTCCATTTCTACGTTGAAGTATTGCTTTACTACAATGCATCTCAAAATACATGATATACTTTTTTGAGCCTTCTTCATGTAATTGAACAACAGCACATGATACACAATAGAAACAAAGAAAGAAGTAAAAACACAGCAAACTGATTTTGAAACAAAACCAGATGAATAGCTTTAGTGCATTATGAAAAGACTGTTTTGGGCAGCTACGTTTCACAGATGAGGTGTTTTGCACGAGAAGGCTCTGATGCCCATTGTGTCGAACAAGGACATTCTGAATTCTGTGTAATATCTGAATAAATATTTAGTATTGCTTGGCAGCAGTCATACATAAAAAACACATATCAATAGTTCATGATCAGAAATGCAGAGCAAGAGTCCTAACAGAGCATTGCTGCACAGAAGAAAGATACCCTTCAGAGTTCCTACCACGCGCCAAGAGCAATACAATGTACCACTGAAAAGAATGATCAAGATTAACTTATGTCTAGATATTCCAACAGCTCTTAGATTTTTTAAGTACTGCAGAAACACAAACCTGCAGATGTTAAAATAAAAAATAATCACGCATCACATGAAATAAAACAGCAACAAAAATGAGCTAAGGCTTGTAATGTTTGTTCAGATTCACTGACAGCTGCTTTCTTCCTCTTGATATTCACCTTTAAAGACAGTTCAAAAACATACAAGCCAAATTAAAGATGGGAGCCAAAAAAAAAACCCTTGCAATGCAAATACAGATAACCACAAGCTTCAAGAACAACTCCTTTTGTTCCTACAGCACATCTGTTATGTAGTTCAACCAAGATTCACTGTGGTTTTTATAGTTTTTCCAAAACACCACAAAAGTTAATAAGTCTCCGATTGTAGGTTGCAGCAATGAAAGCATTTTCCATTGTCATATTTTTGTGAATTTAGGAGTACAGTTGATTAAAAGCAGTTCCTAATACTTTGAGCCTGCATACATTCACTTCCATTCTCTCTGGTCTTTAAAGTGTCCTTGGTGAGACATTTGTCTTCTAGGTAGGACTGTGCTCCTGGAGCTGTGTAGTTCTTGGTATAATACACTGTATCCGGGTGATCTGCCTGTTACTGATATGTAAGCTCTTAGTCATATTACAATTGGGTACTTCAAATGTCCAAGGAAGTGGTACAATACTAATAAAAAATGTCATGCATCTAACTGTTCTCTCGAACCGAGAACCAAGTCAGGTGCAGTAGCCAAACAAATTATTTACACTTTCCCTGGGGATTTAGCACCGATTTATCGAATGCCTGAAATACTATAATGAGGGATCATTAACATAACACTAGAACACAAAGTTCTCTCATATCTCTCTGAACTCACTGCTCTCTCTTTTTGCGTTTTAAGTAAACCGCTTCAGCTCGGATAACAGTAAAAACACTGTTATTAGGCTAGTAGCGACTTTATTAATATATCTGAAATACCCATGAAGCACTGGTAGCTGTGTAAAATCAAGTTCATCAATATAATAGTAATAGTAACTTAAATTAATTAAAATTCTCTCCCCTCATTTGGTTGGGCCCCGGCTAGCTCTGTTGGAAGAGCATGAGACTCAATCTCAGGGTAGTGGGTTTGTGTCCCATGTTGGGTCCCAGGTCCTCCATGTTGGAGGTTGGGCACAAGGCTAACAACCCTGTCCCGTAAAAAACTAATGTTACGGAAACAGCAACAGGATGTTTCTGTCCCTACATGCTGGAAGGCAAAACGGCCGAGCATCCATCCATCTCTCATTTGATTACATTCTTCCCCACAGAAAACACATATTAAAAGCATTTGATCTATTTGCAAACATAGCACTCTTAAATCACAATTTGTTAATACCCAATAATTGGCACCACTGCAACTGAAACACAACGTAAAACCTTGAGGGCACCCCACAATGCCGGTCAGACTGAGCAACCTGACATGGTACACAGCTATTCACAACCACTTGGAACATCTTAGGTCCCGGACATCTGAAATATCTGAAGGTTGAGCTGCGTTTAAAAAAATGATTTTTTTTTTAATCAAGTAATTAAAAAACACTAACCCTGAAAGTATTTGAGTCTTGCCACAGACATCCTTCACATCTTTCCTGCTTAAGCCTAAGTGATACACGCTGAGCCACATTCTTCCTTGCTCTCTTGTACAATTCTTATTTGGAAAACAATGTGTGAATACGACTGCAAAATGTGTGAACTGTGCAAAAGATGGTTTTAAATGCAATACAACCCATGCAGCTAACAGTCACACTAATTGCAAAGCTGAAGCATAACAGAAATATCCCACAGAACTCTTGGATGACATTAGGCACTTTGAATCACTGATGTTACATCTTAATGCACTTCATATACAACTAGAAAACCTAGCAATGAAGCAAAAACATAAGCGCCTATAATGTTTAAGCGGGTAAATCATAAAAAAATCTTAATGTCCTTTTTTACTCTCTTCCTTCTTTTGGCAAGTGTATTGCTGACATCAGGCGCACAAAGCCACACAGTTCCAACAATTCTGACCCACTTAATTCACAAGTGAAGAAGAACTAGGATTTTGGTTACATGCTTGCCCTGAAAAGTCAGGACAGAAATAAGCCCTCGCTTCTCCTTTATAGTGGTGCCATATTTACCAAACCTTTCCACATGCCCGTTTAAAAAAAACAGACACTGAGATTCCACAGTTTCCATTACATCACTCTTACCAACACCAGACACCAACTGTAAGAAAGTGGTAACCACGCACACTACAAAACAATGCTCTCAATTGAAATGAAACCAGATCATAATCTTTGCCCTACTTCTTGTGTTAAAAAAAAAAACGTCATTTATGGCATGTAAAAGAGTTTACTTCAAGATTTAAGGCAGGTTTCATGCCGACAGCTTGAAGTACTTAAAATGTTTTAAGTACATGGTTCAGTAAATGAAGGCAAAAGCGTTTTGTGTAGCCGGAAACACTCTTGATTTTACACTGGAATTTCTAGTTTTAATTAAAAAGCTGGAGGGAGGGGGAAGTGGAGGACGGCAGGCACACCCAAAGTCACATTTTCACAACTCAGGGAAAAACGATCAGATGTAAACTGGATGGGAAAGAGCGCAGCGAATGCCAGTGACTCGGCGTTCTGCCAGTGAAAATGTTTCGCCGTGCTCGGCGCTTGGTGTCTCTGCCCCCCATGTCTTCTCCAGATACCGAGACCTGCAGAGCCCGCAGCCCTGCTCTGTCCCGGCCCCCCAAGATAAGGGCTGAACGCTGAGGTCCTGCTGGGAACAGGCCCCTCACTAGATACGGCTCTGGCGCTCGCAAACTGGCTATGCCTGGAGGAGAGGTGAGCAACATAGATACCCCCCTCCCAGCAGGAAATCACACTGCAGGACAAGTGCCGCTGCAAGGGCTGATCGAGCTGTATGAAGCCAGTCAGATCTTATAAGGAACGTTTTTCCCCCATCCTTAAACTAAATTAAAAAGAGTGGAAGGCATCCGTGATCACTTGTTTTAAACCCAGAACATTCAAATCAACACTCACGTGATATATGGCCTCCCAATCCCTCTCTTATCTACTAATAAGTTTTTCCAAGATCCACTCATTCTCAGGGGCACTTAATATAAGAGTTAGATCCCTTTCTAACCTGAATGTCACTGTTTAGGGATTTCAAAAAGAAAATTATTTTAACAAACTGTCACCAATTCTGCAGAAATTCAATTCACTATATCCATGCAGATAACACTACCAGTAAAACACAGTACCTCCAAACACAAGAGCTTCATCTTATTAGGGCTATTCCTTCTCAGTTTAACACCACAGCACATGATATTCCTGCCACAACACTACAGACTGCATCTGATGCTGAAATGTTCATTACCAGTAGAAAATGTTTGGTCTACATTCTCACAGCAGTAATTGTGCTTAACGAACTTTAGATGCTGATTAATAGAGGTTTTCCATCACTGATCTCTGACAGGAAATACTGCGAAGGAATTTACATCACATCCTGTACGAAGATGCACAAGACTTCCTAACTTCACCAACGAACGGGTGCCAATCAAAACTTTTGTTCAACACCTGCTTATTACTTTACACTTGTGAAGTATAACTCCAAGACTGGTGAATTTTCTCCAGATATGTTTCAAAGGCTGAACTCTATCGGAAACGTACTGCAAACCCAACAACGTCAAAGACAGACAGTGAGAAAAGCGAACACAAAATGTCATAAAAAACAGAACTAACGGGTTGAGAGGAAAACGGACATGTTTTTTTACATTATAATACGTTGTCAAAGATCAAAATCACCACGATGAAACATTTAATAAACTATCACTAAACCAAAATGGAATACTGAAAAGTAATTCACACATCACACTAGTACCACTCAACAATAATTCAAATAGTAATAATGTGTACATTACTTTTCATGCAGAATGTTTAGTGTCCCAAAGTGTTTAGCAGGTAAGAGGGAACTTGCAGCATTCATCAGAGATACAAACCCAGGCTTTTATTAACAAAAGAATCTTTGAAAGATTTTACCTTTACGTACATTATAAAAAGCATGACGGTAAAAACAAATCCCATCAGAAATAACCTTTACATTCCATGACAAGTCAAAAGACTTGCCAAGAACAGCTAAAACTGCACCTTTTTAAACCATATTTCATGAACATCGACTTTATTTTCTCTTGCTATTTAGCACAACCTGGTGAAGACAAACACACAGAACCCTGAACAGAGATCTCACCTGCTCCTCGTTATTTCCCTAAATTATTATCACTTTACTTAAGAGAATTAAATCAGCATAACACATAAGAAGCTATACATTTTAGTGACCTGGCTCTGAGCTAACCTCATGTGGACAAGTAAGCAAAAACACCAGGACAATTTCCACCCAGTTAAGACCAGCAAAGACAAAGGCGAAAAAAGAAAATCAGATAACAAAACAAGAAAATGAGGGCCCACCAACCTGGCTCAGGAGCTGCCCGTGAAAGATAGTGTTGACAACATTCATGACCTTTTTGATGAGCTTCCTCTGTGAAGCCGGCACGTGGGCAGGCTGCAGGCTGCCCGTGGTCTCCAGCTCCTGCTGCACCTTGTCCAGAAGCTCACAGAGGAACTCCTGCGCGTCCTGCTGGGCATAACCCCTGAAGGCAGGGATGAGATGCCATACAGAGTGCAACATGGCAAACGGAGACACCAGCGCCCACTTTCCTGACCACATCACCTGGAACAAGGTGTGCAGCTCGTGGCACAGGGAGATGTGTTTGGAGCTGGGCTCCTTGGGCTGGATCAGCTCCATGTTCCTAGTCCTAGAAGCGCCTCCACTTAGGCCCGCTAACAAACTCCTCTTGGAGGTGGGAGACGGGGACTCCCCCCCCTTACCGTTGCGCATTACGAGCTTGCACAGGGCCGGTCGAGAGTTCCCATTGGCAGCGCTGGCAAGGAAGTCCAGGTCCTGGTTAAGGTCAAGCTGCAGGAAACACTCCCGAAAGATATGCAAGTGACTAAGCACCTGGAGTATGGAGTTCATGTAGCAAGTGTTGCCCAGATTGCGCAGTCCGGTCACGCCGGGGGTGACTGTGGGTCTCCGTTTGACAGGGGAATCCCCAGGCTTCTTCATACCTGCATCAGACGAGGTAGAGGCAGTAGTCGAGGTGGGAGGTTTCGTTTTCCCCGTGTCCATCTTGCCCACTTTCCTGTGAGGCGCGGGGGCAGCTCGCCTTCGCCCCCCGGCCCGCTGCGCCCCCGAGGCCCTGCCGAAAATCCGGCGAACGGTCTTGCGGGACGCCGGGGGAGGGCCGCTCTGCCGGCTCTGCTTCCGAAGGCGGCTGCTCTTCCTGGGTGGGGCGCTTTCCAGCTCCGCCTTCTGCCGCCGCTTCAGCTCCTGCCTCCTTTCCCTCAGCTCCCTCCTCCGGGCCTCCGCCTCCTCCCTCAGCCTCTCCTCCGCGGCACGCCGCTGCCCCCCGGCCGTCAACTCGAACCAGCCGCGGAACACCCGGCCGATCAGCGACCGCCGCCGGTGCCAGAGAGCCGTGAACATGCGGTCCTCGTCCCGCAGCAGCTCCTGCACGCTACCGGCCGAGATGTCGTCGTTGGTCGCCATGGAGCGCAAGGTGCGGCCGCTGCGGGTGGTGACCTCGTAGTTCTGGCTCTTGATGGCGCTCAGCGTGCTGCGCAGCAGTTTCAGGTCTCCCATGGCGTTGTCGTTCAGCACGTAGTCGTCGCACAGGTAGCAGAACACGTAGAGCTCGTTGACCTCCATCGCCACCGGGTGCCTCTGCTCCTGGAAGTGCTTGAGCGCGTGCTCCTCGATGTAGCGGCCGCAGGCTACGTGGGAGCAGCTGAGGCAGGCCCACACCGACTCGGTGGTGTTACAGTCCACGCAGTGCCATTTCTGCGGGTTGAGGATGGAGTGGTCCTGAGCCAGCCGAAGCCGGCCAACATGCTTACACTTGTCCATCTTCCGCGGCGTCAGATCCCCCTTGCTAAGAAGGTGAGCTGCCAAACATGCCCACCCCACAGCATCTTAACCTGGGAAAGACAGGCGGGGTTTAAACCACAACAGACCAAACACAAGAACATCAGAAAGCTGACAAGTGAGAGGCGGCCGTTTGGCCCATCTAGCCTGTCCAGGGGGTCGAGTAGTTAACTGATCCAAGGACCTCATCCGGCTGTTTCTGGAAAGCAACCAGAGTGTCAGCTTCCAACACATGGTTGGGCAGCTTGCTCCCCACTCCCACAACCCCTATCAAACCTGACCAACATGCATTTGCCTGTTGTGAGATGCTCTGAAGGTCCCTTTCCTGTATCTATAAAAATATTGGAGCAAAAACCAGCCCACATTTCGATCTTACTCTTTCTCAAACTTATACTAGAAGACTTCTTTCAGTCTGAAGAATGAAAGCCTTGATTTGGAATGATGCTAAATCTAAGGTGTGCAAGATTCATGCTGACATGTTTGCTTTAAAACACTCTAGAGTTTCAAGGCAGGGAATAACTTCTGGAGCCCAGACTCGTTTGACTAATCAAATGTTTCACACAGCTTTATTTTTTTTCCCCAGACATTATAAAGTCACCTAGCATAACAGAAGAAAAAGTAAGACATTACGTACGAAAAAAAATGCGTCTTCATCAAGGCACTACATAAAGACAAAATGATTAAACGTAAATGTACCTCTAATCACCTGAAAAGGGCTTCACAGCTGAATTTTTGGGTTTCTTTTTTTTACCTTTTTGCATGGAATGAACTTCTACCTGGTCCTTGGCAGCCTACAAGTGCTGACACAGTTCCCCACTCCAACCTCTTGAAAGTTAAATGAAGCATAATTTTTATACTTTAGCCTACCATAAAAATCTTATTTTAAACAGTATTTTGCCAGTTTAGATTCACTTTTCTTCTCATCAGAAAGTTATTGCGAGATACCATACTTGTTCGATTTACACAGTTTTTACATGAAAAAGGTGGTGTTTCCGCATGGCTGTTTCTCTCCCTAAAGTTTCTCTTTGCGTTCGCTTGAATGGTAAATTCAACAGTCTGGTCACCTCTTCGCTCACACAAGGATAATTATTGCAAATGTCTGAGTCTTAGTCATGCTATTTCCTTTGTAGTAAAGAATCGAAACCTCAGCCACTAACTATTCAGTCATCTGCACTGGAGACCTCAGTTTAGCTAACAAAAGGAGAAACGGGGATTTCATCTTAAAGACTTGCTGTAGAATGAGCAACCAGCAAGAGACAATTCCAGGCCTTTGTTTGATGATAACCTGCTAAGCACTTTTTTCCCCAGTTACATTCCAGAAAGGGAAAATGACTTTCCAACGGCTATGAGTGGATCCAAAAAGGATGAATCCCTTTTAGGTAGATATCAAACAAAATGATGCTGCTGAGGTTACTGGTTTAATTTTTGTGCATCTTTACAAAAACACATTTTTGTAGATTTTGTTTTTACTAAATATTTTATAATTGAGCATCATATTGCCCTATGACTACAAAGCCATAGACTGTAATAAAATGAACATTACTATGAAGTGTATTGAAGAACATGAATCAGGTACCCAGCTGCCCATATCTATCAAAGAAACATAGTGGAGAGCTTATGAACAAGTCAGTCTTTTAGACTACATTTCAGAAGACCTAGATTTGGTTTCAAAGGATTAATGAAAACCTTACTTCTAAAGGCCATAGGGAACCTGACAGATTCAGGGGCATAGGCTTACTACGTTTTTTTACCTAAACAGCAGATAGCTAAATTAAGAATTGAAAAAAGCTAATTTTTCATTAAAAGTGTCCTGGAAGGGTCCAAAAAAAGAATCAAGATTAGGTAGCTAAGAACAGGAATGAGTTTCCATTGTCTTGGCTGTGGAAGACCTCATAATGATAGGTCAAATGTGGAAGGCAGGGTCTGGGATAAGTTTCTTTGATAATATATAAACAAGACCTCAAGTATTCTTTATTATTCAGACATCCAAACCTGCTGTTTGCATTTAAAGATCAAATCTGACATCATTAGTCTTTCCAGACTTCACTGTAAACCTCCAGATTTTCTTTGTTTTATTTTAAAACTGTTTCGGCACTTTTAGGCACTTAAGTTATTTCGGAGCATCTGGTACCTGTTTCTTATACTCCGGCCGAGAAGTTGCATTATGGGTTAAGAAAAAGCAGCGCACCTAAAAAAAAAACTCAACATTTTTATCTTTTCTTTCAGGCGAATTATTTTCTCTTCCTCGTTTTAAAATAGTACTTGAATAGGTGGAGAACTTTGGCCGCTGCGTTGACTGCGGACAAAGTTGGCACAATGAAGCTACAGAACATAAATCAGAACAGCCCCTGCACACTGCAATAAAAATGCGATGCCACACTACCCACCCAGCTTTGAGCACTCCACAAACCATTGCAGAGAAAAGACTGCACACTATCGCGGAGCGACCGCTGATGTGAGCTGCAGGGCGATTTTATTTATAGACCCCGGTTTTTAAAGCTGCTCACCGGTCGCATTTTGTTTCAGATCACCTTGCAACAATGAAAACAGGACGCCAACAAAGTGAAGGCACGACGTTTCGCTACGAGTATGTCACGACGGCGATAAACACTTTCTTTCACGCTAAGTGAAATCAGATTTCACGACCCAAGCGTGGTCCCCCTGTGACCTGGGTTCTCGGGGAGCAAATGTATCGTCCACGCTATGAATTCCCACGGTTTTCAAAAACAGTGCGTGCAACTAGCATCTAGTAGTGAGATGATACGCAGTAGATGAAAGCTGGTGGAGGGGGGAGACACCACAGCGAACAGCGATTCGCTGCCGTAATTTTCCCAATCTATTCTTACAGATCTAAACACAATTGGAAAAGAGGGGGGATCCGGTGGTTACAACACAACCTGTCAGCAAACATGACCGATCTCAATCTCTGCGCGCCTGAGGCTGCGTGTATAGTGGACACTTCGCTACACGGCATGTCTGCTCGCTGGGGCTAGAGCTTCTTATTTAACTACCTACAAATTCCAATATCGTGTCAAAAAGCTCTGTCACTCTGTTGAGAGCCTCAACTCGGCTTCCCAGGCTTACGAAGAAGGAGAACGGGATTTTTTCCATCGCTTTAACCATGTGTTCCGAATCAAGAACAATAAACAATGCTAACGTACCTATCACACAGCACTCACTCCGCTGACACTCTCACCGTCGCCATCTTGTCTGTTCACATTGACTGTCGCGTGGAGTCCTCCTCGGCCTTTCCGCGTCCTTCGGTGACGTCAGAGATATTGGCTTTTCTAGTGACGTCATTTACCCCTCCCTCGCTGAAGGGGGGGCTTCTGTAGTGTGCACGGCAGGGGGTTGCCTGCTTTTTGGCGCTGTAATTGTTTATGTGGTTCCTGGGCTAGAATAGCGCCCAAGACCAGCTAGTGTCCCTTTTCTCGGCAATTGCGTTAGCGGCACTTAAAATGCGAGAAATACTAAGGCGGTATAACTATTTGTTTCGCAGTTCAGAGCAGTAATTTTACTTTATCAGCCGCCCAAAAAAACCGTGAACACAAGAAATCAAACTCAACTGGTTTGTGATCATTAATCACCAAATGTTAAACGTCTCTATGTAAAAGGTTACATGGAGCAATGGAGGTTGCTGTTGATACGGAGCGGTTTCTGCTGAACAGGTATATTTCAGCAGTAAAAAGTGCCCTTGGCAATCAAGCAAGTTAGCATTCGTTATCAGAAAATCGAGCTGCGTTGTTGTTTGCACACGGACAGCTGGTTAATGCGCCGACCAATGGTCTTGTTCTGCCAGATGTACATACATCCATGTAATTATTCGAAAACACCCTTGGATCAGTCACACCACACAAATCCGACGCAATTGCGTTTTATATCAAATTTAAACTTGCGCTCAGTTTAATTTAATCGGAAACCAGAACAATGAACAGGAACACAACCAGCGATACGTTTCGTTATTTATTGCATCTAAGTAATCGTCTATTTTATCAAGTAATTTGAGACAGTTATATGCACGGCATTGCCCCGGCCGTAAAATTCACCACTATTGATGAGCCTGACTGCTACACGATACAAGGGGATAAAAGAAACTACAGGAATATCGAAAGTCCACAAAGACAAAACACGAGGTCGCCTACAAAGAAGCGTACTACTGAGGATGATCTCTTCATAGTCCTCCGGACTACACTAAATTACTACGCTGATGAGCACTGAATGGGCCAGTCTTTCTGTGTGCACCAAAACATTTCCAGTTGTAACTAACACCGAAGTGATCACAGGCGGAGTAATTTCAAATCATCAAACGAAGACTGCAAATGATCGTAGTTAACTGCGGTGAATAACGAGCAGTTAGACGTGTTAAGGCGTTAGTGAGGAAAGACATCGAATTGGAATATTCTAATATCTATCAAAGGGGGTTAAATAAAATATAAGGGCTACACACAATGAAATATGAAAAGTGCGTTCAACACAGATCTCAGTGTCTTTTTTTTCCAAATTGTTTGGGTCCTGTGGGTGTTTTCCACGAATGAAATAACCCGACACTATTTCTGGTACTGTACAAAAGTAATTCATACTGTGAAAGCACATTTAACAAATAAAGTTGTCCAATTTTTTCATTGACGGCGGGCAATTTCACGTGCATGATTTGTAACTCTAAAGGCAGTACCAAATGTCATTCGTTATACATATAATCACGTTATCGACCATATGAGCGTTTCTTACTTGTAAGTTTCTCAATAAGCGATTTTGTATTTGAGCGTTCACGCGATGGTTCTGAGTGTTTTTTTCCCGCTTTTGGCTCGAGTCTCCCTCTTGTTACCCACGAAGCTTTTACGAAATGTGTATGTTTTTTCTAGACGTCTGTATGTAGGCACGACAAGCGCACATGCAATATTTTTTCCCTGATGTTACAGGGGCAGGACACCGTTTATATCCTCCCTGGTGTGCCCACGGACGATGCCTTTTTTTTAAACGGGTTGGTATTTAATCGGGAACAATAGATTAATCAGCACTGGCTGTACAGTAGCTGTGGAAACGGAGAGCCCACTCTGCTGACCTGATTTGTATGTGTGACGACTGTATTTCTGGGTTGGGAGTTTTTCCAGTATTTGTAAAGTTGTCACTGTGCCAAGTCGTCTTTCAGGAAATGCTGCGGTTGAGGTAAAATATGCTCGTCTCAGACCAAGCATCTGTACGCTGCAACACGCAGTTACAGTATATCTTTCTACCGCGTTCCACCGTCTCAGTGAATTTTTTTAAATATATCTTTTACGCTGTAGACCAATCTTGACTACGACCTTTCGTTCGTCTTTTAAAAACTGAGTACTATTCGATTTATTTACAGCTTTTAATGTATCGGGGTCATGTTTTGTTGCCTCGTTGAGTGTAGTTATGGTTCACAGGCGAGTGCGTAATCATTTCTTAATGTTTCCTGCGAATGTCAGATAACGTTTATTTATTGTTTCTAGCAATTCTCGGTGATTATTAGTACGACCACAGTTCCTTTACTTTATTTGGTATTTCACAGCACGCATCGAAATTTAGTGCTGTTCACTCATCTATGAGTACATGGAAAAACGTTTCTCGTATTGAGCGCTGGAAATGAAACGAGTGGGTTTGAATGAAACTTGGGTCTTCAAATAATCTAGAATTAGTTGCATTTGAAATGGGTTGAATCTGGATATGTGGATAAAAACTCACCGAAGTACGGTATTAGGGTTCTGTAGTTTATCCAGGTGCTTGTTGCTGCAGTCGACTCGTGCTGTTCTCAGCTCAAAACTTGAAATATAGACATTTAGTCAAACTTACTGTCTACATGGTGCCGAAACTCGAGCTCTGTCGAATAACGAGAACAAATTTTTGAAATAGTTCCCTTAGTTTCAGGAGCTGACAAATACTTATCGCTGTAGCGTCTCTCTCCTCTTACTGCTTACACTTTGACACAACTTTAATGAACAACCGCGCATATAATACATAAATTATTCAGTTAATGAACATTAATTCAGGCCAAGATGCTGATATGAGGGGAGTAATCATCTAGTGTAAAGGCAATTATAACGTGTGAAAATACCTTAAACACACATAAATCAATTTAAAAAAAAAGACAGAAATGAACCGTGTTACAACAGCGGTGCATATTTGTTCCAGCTTCGCTTTGAATAAAAATAAGACAAAGGTATGAGGTTGACTTGGAGTTATTGGCGGATGGGGCTGTAATTACAGGAGGGGATAATATGTGTCCTACCCAATTCTCAGCCCCTGGGAAGCTGTATCCCTCTTTCAACCGTCCTATGTGCGTGGGAAATCGTTTTCCACCCACCAGAGCGTGTAATTTGTCTGGCCGTCCACAAGCACCGTCTTCCGTGCTGTGTCAGATTGGCTGTTGTAGGACAAAATCATTTCAACCTCAAGAGCTCAAGGGGATCCCACGGTATGCAGATAACACGGTTTAGGGGAATCTACAGACATGCACATGTATTGAGTAATTTATCGAAAATAATTGTTTTTCTTTTCGAGTTTATTTCGGTTTTCTTCTATAATTTTGACTGTTGGATAATTAGCATTAAGGTGACTTATAAATCATTTTATACGTATTTAAACCTGAAAAAAAAATCGCCTTCGCAACAGCCGATACGGTGCCGCCTGTGCAGACAGACCGTGCGCACATGTGCGTGGAAGAAAGGAAGATTTCTGCCGCACTTGCGCATTTTGAAAGGGGGGGGGGGGTGACAGATTTCCCGGAGATACTGAGTTGTATACAACGCCCGAGATTGCAATTAGAGACACCCAGCTAATCTTGTTCATGTAAAAAGTTACACGATCCAGGAATCGTAGCGAATTGGCGAACCCTTTGATCCATCACAGCCAATATTCTATCTTCCTTGCCTCCTCAAGACTCTCGCCCATTCAGACTGCAAGTCTAGTGACTACATTCATTTCAGACTTTTCTGGAATTGCTGCCTGCTTTTGTTTCGCTTACCGTGTTACGCTCATTGTGCTTTGCGTTTTCCGCTCTCCATGTTTTTTTTTAACTGGTATTGTTTTACACTCAATTAACCTGTTTTGATTTTGCTGCTAAAAAAAACAGCAGAAATAATTACAGTACCTGTAAGGGTGAAGACAAACGATGGTAGATGCACCTCAGGACAGTCCTGGTTAAAGAATCGAATTTTCTCGTTGAGTGTTGTTTGTTCAATGAGATTTCACTTCTTCTAAAAATCACTGTAAAAATGTCTGAAGTACAGTAACAAGAACGATGTTTATTCTTAAGAGTTCGGCTGATTTGTCAGAATCGGGGTTCAAGGCAGGATTACATCTCGCACAAAGCGCTACATCATTGCGTGGCGCATACATTTAACTCAGATTGGGAGCAAGTTAGGGACATCAGGTATTTTGAATATGGGAGAAAAACAGAGCACCCCTCAGAAAACCCTACACACTACATGCAACCGCTGCCCAGATAGTACTCAAAGCAAGAATCTACCGCTACCGGCGACAGCGATAACCACCACGCTGATGTGCCTATTTAATGAGGTGACCATCTCCGTACATCGAATTTAAAGTGAGGTTGTAGTAGAGCTACACTTTTTGCAGGCGTTATCTCCCTTGACCTTAATTCCGCAGGCTACTGTGATGATGACAACAATCAGTCGTGCAGTGTTGGCGATTTCTTAACGTCGCCGTTGTGCTCACATTCTTCTTGGAATGATTCAACAGTAGAGTTTTACATGCGAAACATACGATGAGTTACAAAAGAGAAGACAATTCGGCCCGTCTATTTGGTAGGTAGTAGTTAATTTAGTGATTTATTGACCCGAGGATATCATCCCCTTTCTTGAAAGAAGACAGGGTACCGGGTTAAAAAATAATACTGGACAGATTATACCATTATCCATAAGGGATACGTGGTTTATGTTTTGTGTATCGAAGCTTGCTTGTGATAATGGTTCTTGCGTTGCTGTTACTACAGTCCGCTGCTATTGACAAACTTATTTCTCACCAGTAGATGGCAGAAGTGTACACCTCCATGAACCGATTGCGCGCTGAAATGTGACGTACTGCGTTTCAAAGGTAAAAGGTTCAGAAACGATGGTTATAGAAGACAAGATTAAAAAAAAACGGGTTTCATCGTCTCAGAATGGACTGGTCAATAGACTGAACCTGTAACACGTAACACTTACCGTGATGTCAGTGTGCCGACATTAAGTGACGTACGTTTCACTTGGACTACATTGTAATAAAAAATGAAAGCAAAATGTAAAATACATTTTACAGTATATGCATAAAGCCCGAAGACGCCGAGTTCGACACCAACAAATAATACCTAGAGAGTATTATAGTATGCCTTGCGAAAATATTCATCCCCTTCAGTGATGTCCTATTGAATTACAGATGACATAAATACAGCTATATATATATATTAACCTTGAACTGTCATACTGAGCTCCGTCACGAAAGAAAAAAGTTGCAAAGCAAGATAAATAACTAAAATATGCTGGTTTCATCAATATTCACGTAAACGAGTCGGTACATGATGGAAGAACATTTGGCAGCAATTACATCTGCTTGTCTTTATGAACAGGAACTCTGTCTTTGTGTACAGTGGGATGGTGCACATTTCATTAAGTTGGACAAAGGCTGTCTAATTTCACGTTGGACTGAATTAATGTCAGAACCTTGATCTGGCTTTTCAAGGACTGAAGCCACCACTCCAGCTGGCTTTGGGTGGTTGTACTGTTCAAAGGTAAATTTTGACCTTTACCAGTTTTAGGTTTTCAGCAGACCTGAAGCAGGTTTGCCTTTAAGATGTATTTGTACTTTGGTCCATCCGTTTACCCCTCGCTCTTGACAAGCTTTTCATTCCCTGCTGACGAGAAGCAGAGCTATAACATACAGTAGTCCCATCACCACCATTCTTAACTAAACAGGACATCGTTGAAAGGGGTTGAATACTTTTGCAAGGGATCGTATAGACTGTAGTTGGGTGGCGTGGTGCTGTGGTTGGCAGTGTTGCCTAGCAGAAATCGGGCCCTGGTTGACGGGTATGGTATCCAAGTACTCTTTTAGGTGGCGTTTCATCTGCTACCCATAGAACGGAATGAACGTTCAGGTCCATTCCGCATTTCTAACCGATGAATCACACAAAAGGAAAAAAAAAACTGGAAACGTGTTAGATTGTAGACTTTACGTTCCCCTCTCCATTTAAGGTAGAAAAAGGGGAAAATATCCATTCGCCCAACGCGTAAAAAGTTCATCCCCACATCCCTGAAAAAGACCCTGGAAATGCTGCCGATAGTGGAGAATGTTTGGTTTTTAATGCTGTTTTGCTTCGCGGTTTTTAATGCAATACAAGTTACTTTCCAGGCGGGGGCACTATATGACTACAAGAATTTCATCACTCAACGGCTGATTGAATTCAAGTGAACTGTTGCACGCTGCTTGACTTCATTTGAAACATATCTCTGTTCATTGGACAACCTGCTCGAGGTTTAGACATGTACAGGCATAACAGAAATTATCTTTAATTTCTTTACCTAGAGGTATTTTATAACACGCATCACATAAGTAATGTTTCTAGATCTCAGTATTTTAGTCTTGTTTCATTGTTCTTTCCTATACTATGGGACATAGACAAAACATTCCAATCACATTTTATTGTAATCTCACAAGCAGCTGGATTCACCTATATGTAGTTTAAGCAAAATGTGTGTAGGGCTCACACTGGGAGAGCAAACAATAAAAAATTGAAGAGCTACACATCTGAAACACGAAAAGTCTCTCAGGTCCTCGCTCTCAGTTTTCGTCTCCGAAGCTGAGCTGCTTTATGGTGTGGAAAAAAACAAAGCAAGTCCTCTGGTGACCCTGACTTTGCTGTTTATGTACGGTTAACTACCACAGTAGGAACAGGGCCCTTCAGATGCCAACCGGAAAAAGGAAACATTTTTTGTTTACACTAACTGACCGTACTTGAAGTACGCAAACATAACTATTTTTACAGGCCTTGCAGAATAAACGCCCAGCAGGCAAAGGTTTCAGACACTACTGGCAATAATATCTGGATTTTAAATTCCCTTATGTGTTTTTCATGTCACGGATTTTGATTCCTGTGTTTTGAAAGTTCAAAAGTAATGGTTTCGATTTTCTCTACATCTGTGTGCTTTGCCTTAACTTTTTTTTCCCTGTCTTTTCTTCTACAAATAGTGAAAGCTTGGTCGTGAAGATAATACAGGACCAGGGATGTCTTTTATCTGAGCCTCCTAGTGCAGATCCTGCTGAGTTTCATCCATCCGTTTCCTAACTGCTGTATCCACTGAGGAGTCACAGGGGACCCGGAACCTATCTCAGTAAGCAATGGGCACAGGGCAGGATAAACCCTGGACAAGATGCCAGTCCATCACAGGGCACACAGCAGGGTCCATTTTCCCAGAAGCTAATTCACCTGCAGGTATATCTCTGGGCTGTGGGAGGAAAGCCTCTCAAACATCGAAACATTGCAGCAAAGGTAACCACTGTACCACCATGCAGCTCTCGCAGTGTGTCACGTTTGCAGCGAAGGGTTTGGGAACAGACACATGCCCAACCTTGTGCCAGGAGGTTAGTCCAAATGAGATTTGATATAGCCAAGAAACATGCCAATAGGCTGTTTACTTAACCTGAAGATATGATAATGTTTAAGTTCAAGTTTATTGTCATTATACTCATACACAGGTATATGGTATAACGGAATGCTATTTAGCTAGCTCTCAGATGGTAAGCAGTACAAAAAAACAACAACAACAACAACAACACAATTGTATAAGAAAGAAAGACAGAGACAACAGGCAATGTGCAAAACAACAACAGGTAATAGGTAATGTGCAAAACAACATCAGTTGTGCATAGTCATACATCAACAAAATTAAATTAAAAATAATGTTTTAGCTTAAACAGGTTGTCATCAGCTTAAGGTTATTTTCAGTCTGCTTTGTCGGAAAGAGTTGTCATGCCCTCCATTTTTAATTAAGATACTTTTTCACATTCGAGAGAAGTTTTAAAACAACATTAGAAAATCTAACAATTCTTCAGTTTTACTAACAGATATAAACAATATATCTTCAACAGCTCTGCATCCAAGGTTTAAACAAGCAGAAGCAGGGGTTTTCCACCTTGTCAGGTGCTTTACTCGGGGGGGAGCTGGCCTGTTTGCTACTTTTTCACAATAATTGCTACTAAATGGAGTTCATAACGAACACTCGGGAAGGATGACAACAACCAAGTTCAATCAGACTCAGCTGTCAGTAATCCACAATCACTCCTGATGTCATTTCCTCTCCTAAAACACTATAAATACTGGACGTGATCCCCTTCTCTCCCTCGTATTTGTCTTTTTGAATCCCACCTCCACCCCTTCTCCAGCTGCCCCTTGGTCACCCCTCACTCTGCTGGGGGTCCCAGCCTCCTCGTTCTCTGGCCAGGGGGTCAGCCCTCAGCCAAGCAGGTCGAGCCACATTTTGACTCTAACACTCCATGATCTTTTCATTACACTTCATTCTTGTGTTGTTATTCCTAGTGAATTAGTTACAAATTGACATACTACAGATATTGAATCCCCTGGTTGCATTAGCTATTATAACACAACAGTGTATTATAACATGTATAATTTCCCAATTAATTTGGATGAGGCCTTGTAAATCCATTAAAAAGCAACCCATTCTTAATATTTCTTAATATTTCACATATTATTATTTTTTCTTACTTTCCTTCAATATGGAGTCGTGTTTTTTCCACACTTTGGCTCAACATAAAAGGGTGTGGTAGTAATAACAGTTATGTTTTGGTACTCCCGACACTTTAAAAGAAACATTATCTTTTTAAAGTTATAATTTAAGGTCATTCTTGACAGATAAGGTACTGTATTTATTATTTGGTCATGATGACAACAACTTAGTCTAAGAAATTCATACCATAGACATCTTCTTAAGCACTTAAAATGCTTTCCTGGCTGTGTACATTTCTCCTTGTTAGTTTATACCAAAAGTATCTTCAAGATCATAGCATTCCTTTGTGTAAGAGTGGTGCCAGCATGCATTTAGTTTTGTAAATCAGCGACCTGATTCTTCTGAATTTCTTTTCAGGTGAGACACGCTTAATGTTTTTTTTTTTCACTATTTATGTCCAGGGGGCAAGATGGGAGCTTCGTGTCTGCACATGCATTCCCCGTGTAATTCATTCAGTGTCAACACAGGACAGCTTTCACACACACAGGTAAATCAGAGCTGAAAGGGATCATCAAGTGCTTTTTCAGTGAAAAAGAGAAAGTCTTCCTAATGAACATGTGTATGCATAGAGGTCCTGTTCTGCTTTTTTCTTCCATTGTACTTAATGGTGAAATTGAAGTACAAGGATTTACATGAATACATGCCACTTTAATTAAAATGTGTTTTCTTTGAAAGAGTGATACTTATGAGCCCTCCAAAACATCCACTGCATCATTTAAGAGATCTAAGTAAATGAATCATTTAGGATTCAACTCTGGTGACATTTCAAAGTTGGCTTCACTTTGTGGGTGACATTACATGCTGGTCTACAATTTGATACTTTAGGCAGAGCAGGGGTTATAGTGGCAGTCTCATCTGAACTATAACAGTACAGTGTACCTGAAGAAACATATTGGCTCATCAGCGAATAAAAAGGAGCCTTCATTTTCTTCCTGCGGTGTTTGCTTCATGTAGATCAGTTTTTAGACGGTAACTGTTAATGTAAGCCGTCAAAACTGAATTCCCCTCTTGAGAAAATAATTTATACTGTTTGTGTCACCTGAGAATGAGGTAACCTGCGATGAGTGACTCGGTTGCAGCCAGTGTTATGGAACAGCTATGCTGGATCCTGTGCTCTGATTGGACGGTTCGTTGCTGCTAAGTTCAGCCAGGCTGCAGGTGGCAGGGAGGTCAAGGTCAGCAGTATCCCAGAGAGCCCTCACTCACGGGTGCTCCAGCGAAAACACAGAGAGACGGACTCTACTGCTGCCAAAGAGGAAAATACGAATCTGGCCCGCACAGCTTTGTCTGCCAGGCATACCCGTTATTCGCATGATTAAGATTTAACAGCCTCTCCGCTTGAGGAAGTGGTTGCTAAAAATTAATTTACATTTTACCCCCTTGTGAGAGGGTAGTAGGGTCATGCGAGCAACGGAGAGTGACCTGCCATCCTCAGTCAACTGACCAACTAGAGACCTGACCGGACGGAGACTTCTGTCTGAGCCTGTTGCCCTCTTGCTCCCCCATGTAACACAACCTGGTAATAACCCAACGTCTGGCCACTGCCCCTTGTGTTTAACTGTTTCACTCTGAATGTTCTGGAAATTGTTGAAGAGAAATCACATCCGCAAGATTTGGATGCCGATGCCGTTATCAGAAATCTAAAAGCTGCTTTGAGGGTTTGTGCTTAAAGCTCTCTTTGTGAACAGCGCCATCCACTCCAGAATCCCTTTGCTCACTTGACCTGTGAGACCAGTTCACACTCACCTCAAGCAGGACTGATACAATGTCAATATTACATCGCTTGAAGTGTTGACTTCGAATACAGCTAGAACTATTTACCCCTTGTGTCTGGCTTTTGACAAAGGCATTTTACTTTGCCTGTGACTGCACATTCTCAAGCAGTTTTTCCTGGTGCAGCGTCACATGGAACAACTGAGAAAGACACTCAGTCTTCCTCTATCTCCTTTCCTCACTTTTTAATGACTAAATTCTCGTTTTTTACAACTGTATTATGACCGTTACTCTTAGAAAGACATGAGACAGGGAGACATTGTAAACACTCACAATTGGTAGAAAACAATAGAGGATATAATAACACCATAATTATATGCAGCATAATAAGTTGACTTCTTAAACAGTTACATTAGTTTCAACATTTCCACAGAAATTATTTAATGTTACTTTAATAACATTAGATCAAAGGCTATTTCTACTCCTTTTCACAATTTCTTCATGTACAGTATAGAAACATGCAGGATTACTTCTGAAGATCCCCATCATTTTAATGATGAAAGGTACAGAAATAGCAGACAAAAAGCAGACAAATGATACTTGGTACAGTAGATCATGTAGGCACTGTTATCCCATTACATCAATGTTTATCATAGGAAAGGTTGCAACACACACCTGTTGTTTTACAAGTGGTACTGCCAAATAAAATACACCATTGCTCAGAGAAAGAAAATGTCCTTGGACAGGTAGTAAATCTTTTTTTTTTAATTGTTTTATGCGAGACAAGTTCAAATATGCCAACCATTTCTGGAATCCACCCCTACATTAGATATATTTGACTAAAACTACTTGCAACGTGCTACTGCATTTCTCTCTTGGCAGACAGTGTATACTGTAATTTATAAACATGTAAAGTCTTTTTAACATGACACAAGGCACAAGAAGACACAAGTAGAGGATGTTTACTGATCAATCAATCACATTTTACATGTAAAATAAGATAAGAAAAGATCACTTTATTAGCCATATACAATTTCTTGTATTAGGAATTTGTCTTTTTGCATACCCCAGCTTGCTCTCCATGAGACACACAGACCGGGAGAGAAGCCTGGGGTCAGAGTGCAGGGTGAGTCATTGTACAGCACCCCTGGAGCAGCTGGGGTAAAGGGCCTTGCTCAGGGGCCCAACAGAGTAGGATTCCTCTGCCAGCTGCAGGATTTGAACCGGCAACCTTCCAGCCACAAGCACAGAGCCACCACTCTGCCCCTATGTTATTATAGTACTGTTTTACAATTCAGTGATATTTTGTTATGATGTCTCAGCCTTCATGTGGACAATTGGATGATTTTGGATACATATATCCATGTTCCAGTTGTCCGTTCAAGATCACTTCTCCTATTTAGCACATGAATGAGCAGACCAAGCAGCTTTCAAAATCATTGCACCTCTGAAGTCTAACCTGGGATTTTCACTATGAGCCCTGATAATAAGAAAAACATGATTGGTATAGCAAAAAAAAATGGACTTTACTGTCCCAATACCTTTGGAGTGTACTGTATATTTTTTATTTAACATTAACTTAAATGCTGCCTTTTATATGCCATGTAACTCCTTCACAGAGGCTAAATATAACAATAAAACAGATTTTGTAAGTATTGCTCCAAAAGGGAAAAGAGATTGTTGCATACTTTAAGTATTTATTGCATTTGTTAAAGCGCACAGGTTATTGTACGTCTCAGGGTTAGAGCTATGGTCAAGTTTGGGTTATTTTATGTGTCCCATCCAGGGCGTATCCTGCCTGCCCATTGCTTGCTGGATAGACTCTGGCTCCCTTGGGACCCTATATTAGATGAAGCGGTTAAAAAAGTGGATGGATATGCGATACTTGTTATGGCATGTGGAAGAATGGTCATAAAGGGTTATGAATGTTGTGTAGCCTCTGAGAAGGTATTTTTTCTGGATGTAATGCAGTCTACATAAGGCCATGCTCAAATAAGTACAGTAAGTTTTTTGCATGTAGAAACTGTCCTTTACTAGTGAAGTGTGTAGCCTTCACTGAACAGCATAAGGTACTGTATATGTCTACATAAAATGCACTAATAATTTCTATATTAAAATCAGGGTAAGTCAAAAGAGTAAGTGCTTTGTAATGATTTATGAAACAAAACCAACAAGCACAGGAAAAGATTGTTGTACCTCGGCAAACGACATTAATCTTTGCTCAAAGGCTTTGCCAAATATTACACAAAAGCTTTCCTGTTCCTCGTTTCTGACGTTGCAAAGTGTTTGTAAGTGCAAGATAATGCAAAGATTTTTTTGGGAAGTGTTCAGGCAAAGGAGCAAAGCTTACAGTGACTTTGTTTTTCTTTCAAATGCGCTAGGATTCAGTGAACGGTCAAAGCCATTCAACAAAGGCATTGTCCGTGCATACCGAAAACAGCAATGCACTGAAAAGCAGTAAAAACACAGGAATGCAAGTTGCACAAAGGCAATAACTTAATTATATAGCATACAAGTGGAGTATTGTTCAACAGCAAACTCATGAAGGCGATTTCTTCATTTAAGGCAGGCACTAGCATCCAGAATCGGCACTGTTCTGGTGTACTCACTAGGGTACAGCTCCACCTTTCTTTTTAAAAGAAAATAATCAAAAACAGTGTCAGACTTCAGCCAGAGATTCTTCTACAATTTAGAGTCCTAACATTGTCTTAGACAAATGGAGTGAGTTACTTCTCTGTATTCATGAATGTAGTATTTCAAAGTCCTTTTTTTTCAGACCCTGCTAATGCTTAATACATGAAGCGACTTGCAGTAAATCAAGCAAGCAAGTTCTAAACAAGCAGGCGTTTTTGTTTCTTTCAGTCCATGGTGTCCAACTATTTCTCTGCAAGTCTCCAGACAGAAAGCAAAATGTCAATAAGACTATTTGTGTCCTTACAGCAGGAAACTCCAGTGGTACCACAAAATGTTAATTTAGTAAATATTGACATGAAAAAAATTATTGTCATGATTTACAAATATCCAAAGCAAGTGCTACAAGTCCTAACATCTATATACAGTATATAATTTAAATATAGTATATATCACCCTCAAATATATCAAATCATATATTGCATGGGCAACTTAAAGTTAAGCTTCACAAAAGCACCGTTTGCAACAAAAAAGTTTGTTCTCCTATCGCAGATCTGAATTTCTGATTAGTCTGAGCCTTTAACGTGGCCGATATGTTAACAACCCATCTGCTCCTGCTTTGGCCGAAGATGTGTCTATTTTGTTAACAGCAATGGCATTCAGCTCAAGAACGTGCTCCACAAGTCTTAACATATCTAGAACCTGCAAAACAGTTTCTTCTTGTTACTTAGTTGAACTGTTAATTCTGCACCATCAGGCCTTAGAAATTCACTTTAAGATGTTTAAAGTAGGATCTGCCTCGATGAGCTGAAGCTCCTGTCCTTTCTATTACATTTGGATTTTTGTCTTAGACTTCAATTCTTCCTCTTTTTAATTTGTTCAACCTGGGAAAGGTGCACAGCCAGCATAAGAAGCAAATGAAAGATAAAGATTTTACAATATTTTCTATTGTCTTAATTGGTACACAAGACTCTAGCTTAAAAATTGCCATCTAAAATTTAACTCCACTTGTTCCTTTCAAACATCTGGAGAGCCTGGTGGCATGTGAGCTGCTCCTATAGTCTGCGACGACTGCAAGCTGTTGCCTGACCTGAAGCCAGTGCCTTGTTTCCACCTATGAACGGAGTCAGTGGGTGTAGAGGAAGGAACAGGGGGTCATACTGTGGATGTTTTCTCCTTGGACGTGCTGGGTGGCTGCTCAGGCAGAATTCCTGTGAAGTAAGAAGGCAAACCGATGTGGTGGTTTGCAGGACTACTGCCATGTCCCATTAAAGAGTTTTTTTTTTTTCCCCACTCCCTACACAAGTAACTTCTTAATTGCATTGCACACCCTGCACTTTGAATAATTTGGATCCCAGTTATGCAGATCATCATCGTTATGAAAGACTACCATTGGAAAGAGTAACGCAGCATTCTCTGTACTCTCCTTCTGGAAATGTTACTCCCATTAGGCTGAGCCTGGACATTACAAGGATTATGTAACGCAATGAGGACAGCGGATGAAAATCAAAGAGAGCACAGTAACGTGTAATGAACGACCGCCTGTTACAGTGGTTAAGAATTCTTTTACTACAGTAATTCAGGACACTACTTTACATTACGCCATCTCTTAAAGAATGCCATTAGTGTATTGCTATTGTCCTCATATGCAACTCAATCCTAAAAAAAATAAAATAAAAACAGTTTGTAAAAATACTGGAATGGAAAACCTGATCATTACCCAAGATCACTGCTGAACGTGGCTTTGTAGTGAATGCCAGATGATTATTGGTCTGATTTTATTTATACACGGTTAAGCAAGTGCTACCACATTTGTGTAGTTGTAAATTAGAAATGTACAAACTAACATGAGGCAGAAAGTGTCCTTACATCGTTAGAAAGCAATCCTGAAAGAATTTCAAAAACAATTACAGCACATATTTGAATTCCAGTGCTGTGTAGCTCGCTTTGCAAACCCAGATGGCCTGAGATCGTCTTGTCATGCTCTGCCAGTTCCCTGAGCTCTTGGCCTCGCTTCTTACAGAACATCAATATTGTGATATGAAGTTATGGGAACAGTGGCTGTCCTGCTCCTTAATACAAGGTCACTGTCTGGACCCTATTGTTACAAACATTAACAGCACAGCGCATAAACCCAGGGAAACTCACCAGGTTCTGCAAGGTTTGATATATTTCAAGTCAAATATATTTTTCCTACACATCTCTGTTGCTAGCATCCTGGCCCCAAAAAGATTTTTGTTCTTTTTATGAGCCACGCATGTCTTTCCTTGTTAATATTTAGTGTATCTCCTTGTTCATCCATTATTTTGGAGGGGGGTTTGTGTCTCTACATATACTTATTTAAAGTTATTATCATTTTACTTTATTATTTTACAGTTATTTTTAATGGTTCAATCAAAAAGTTTAGAAATCAGCATGTGATAACTGTAAAGTGTATTAAATCTGTAAATTAAAATGCAATACTGTACTTTTTGCCATGTTTTTAAAATCCTTCTGACTCGCTATCCTTGTCACATTCAGTCTGCTACGATTCCAAGGCCTGTTTTCTATGTACTGTATATGCCTTAATTGACTGTAATGAAAGACTGAGCCACTTACCTTTTCTTGAAGAACGTCTTCTGTGTTACCCCTTCAAGACGGTCTTCCCTTTAAAATGAGTGGTTGTTTTACTTAAACAAGGAACTTTTGCTTTTCAGTTGCTTCCGGAATTGGACACAAATTGTATCCATGAAGATCACAGTCTAATTGTATCCATAGATATAAAATGACATACTGCTAAAAAAAAGCCAAAGGAGTTAGCAATAAAGTCATGCAAAAGGAAGGTTTTAAGTAATTTTAGATGGCCTTTAATGGTCCACTTCTAGATTATTTTAAAGACTTTTAAGGACTGAATGAGTATAGTCCATATCTGAAGCTTAAGATCTGAAGATTATGAGCAATTTCACTCAGCCGAGCATAATATCTTGAACAACACATTGTCAGAAGTGTACAAAGTGCATTTAAAACTGAAAATGGGAGACATTTTCTTTAGCCAAAAGGTTGTGGGAGTCTGGAACAAGTTACCCAGCTCCAGCCCCTTTTCTTGAAGCTGATTAGCCAGTTTCTTTCAAAATAATTCTGGCAGAGATATTTGGATCCAGTAATTACTATCCAATACCTAAGATCAACCAAAAGGCCTGCTCTCATTTCTGTTTTATCTATGGGACTCAAATCCATTGCAGATTATGTATCTGTTGACATTTTAAAACTCACTTTAAGACCCGTCTTCCCACTAAAGCTTTTAATGTGTATTTTAGTTTTACGCTTGGATTTAAAGTCAATTTGCCGTACTCTTATTTATTTCACTTTCTTCCTGCTTCTGTTGTGTGTTGTGTGTGCTTATGTACAGCAATCTGAGTTTTTAAAAAAAAAAACTCAAAAGCAAAACTGCATTATAATTATTATTGCTGTAAAAAACAGCACTTCAGTATTTTTTTGCATATCAAACTTGTTTTGTATTTATAGTTACAGTATGTGCTAATGTGAATAAGCAGTACAAATCCAAGCTGTGAAATGCAGTTCCCCAAGTGTGCTTTTAGTCAACAGACTGACTATTTTCGAGTCACAAATGGAAATATACTTCCAGTATAATGAAAGTTTGCGTCATACAGTGAAATTCTGGGCATAACCTGTTTGCAAGAAGACAATCATTGACTTCTGTCAGTGATTCTAGTTTGACAGTTTACTGCTAGTTTAAAGACTTTAAAATGATTAAGAATTTTCAAGGACTGTTTTCTTATGCTGCACATTCCATTTGTCTCTATAGGTACATAGCTTCTCTCTCTTCCCCAGGGATGTGACACCAGGTTTCTTGCTGTTATGTTACATTTTGAATAAATGTCCTCATGTCTCTTAATATGATCTATTATTAAATCTGTTTTATCTCCTTGATACCAAACAGACACAGAAAATACCCAGTGGAAAGATATTACTAATACAGTCATCATAAGAAAAAGAAATTACAAAAAAAAAACCCACGAGTTTCAGCAATATGTTATGAAACAAATAACAAGAGTTCAACATTTAAAACAGAATATAATAGTATAATATATTAGTATAATATACTAAGTAAAGACACTTACATAAGCCTGTGTTAAAAATGAATTCAGTCTTACTTTTTTATTATATACTGTACATAAACAAATAATGTAGCAAAAAAAAAAAAACAACAGCATCTGGCATATCCAAGTCCATAGGACTTCTAAGTGCATACAACTATGAAATGCTGAATATTAAAATGCTCTTTTAACACTGTCTTTTTTCTTTTTTTATGCATTGTATACACATCAAGGAAGCATCATGTACTGAAGACGTTAAAGCAGTTGCTTAATATGGCTTTGTGATGCAACAACAGTAAATAGTCTAAATCCACAGGCCTAAAGTCTTTGTACCGCCTAGCTGACAAATAGCCAGCTGTTGCAGGATACGTAGAACTGCGCAACTGGGAGTGACAACTCAGATTGAGCAGTGTATCAGCACAATTCCTCCCCCACCCCACCCCCAAGTGTAACACATGTGAATAACAAATAAACAAAAAGGGGAGATCCAACATTTGCATTAGTGGGAGACAACAAAATAAGTTTGACTCTTGCGTGTTCACAATAGCCAGGTCTGAAGATGGTGATGGTGAGCCCTGGCCAGTCAAGCACAGCCCGTAAGTGTGAAGGCCAATCTTCCACCTCAGACTTCATGAGCGAGATCATCCTCGCCATTCGTAGACAAGCTGATCAGCCTGCCCAGGATTTCTTAATTGAAAAGGAACATCCAGATAAGACATCAACGCCTTGGCCCAACCGCTGGTAAAGTGCTTCAGAGGGTATAGCCGGGAATGCTGGGAAATTTGGCCAACTTTGGTTTCGGTTTCAAGTACGAGTCCTGCGAGGGCTCAGTGCTTTTGTCTGTCACTTTTTTCAGCTTCTGCTTTGTGGGTGTTCCGTCCTCAGCCGACACCCCCTCAGTGCACAGAATCAAAACTGCAGTCCTTTCTTCTGCACCCTTCCGTCCTACCCTTTACAGTCCGTCTTCAAAAACTGCATGACCTTTCTTCCAAGGTTAGGTTTCCAGCGTTTGACAAAGCTTTTCATGTTGACCACGAGCCTGCCCATCCTCCTGTCTTCGTGGCCCGCTACCAGATATTCCATCCCTGGAAGACAATCACCGTCTTTAAAAACCCTCCCTGCATTTCTCAGCCATTTTCATATGATGGCTGTGCGGAAGCATGTGCCTTCTTAATAGTCGGAGACTCCTTCCTCATAGACCAGACAAAGGCTTGTGAATGGTACATTGTGAATTAGTGAATGTAACAATGTTGAAAAGTAAACCTGCAGCTACATACTGACTGTAAAATTGCTTCACTCCACAGAAAATATACCTCCTCCATTTTTTTTAATGCTAAGACACTGTTGAATAATAAGACCATGAATTGCAAAAAGAGAAACGGGAAAAACGCTAATATTGTTCTGTTTGTAAATACAATATTGCACAAAAAAATAGTACATTATGCACTTCAAAGTCATTATGATATTTTTTCATACCGGAATTCCTCTAATTTACTGTATTTGAATTTGAAACTATGGTTTTTACGAACTTCAACTTTTAAGAGATTTTTCAGAACATAAAATAAGAAACAGAATGGACTCAAGGACATCTCCCTATTCTTCGTTCTCTCCACACACAAACACACATATATATTTACACATATAGAGAAATAATGCAGGGTAACTATAATGGTGTTTATGTGATGGTGGAAAGAGAAGGAATCTTAACCAGCGTGTGAATTTACATGTGCTTGCCAATGTATCTGTATCTTTTTGTTTCTAGCTATCAGCTAGAGCTATCAGCTCATTTCTTGGTATTGGCATATCGTAGAAAACACTGCTGTGTTCATAGTGAGCCATTTGTGCTTCAGGATCAACAGTTGACCACAGACCAGAAGTCTCAAGTGGAAACAACACGAAAGTGTATTTAAAACAGAGAACAGCAGAAGATGCTTTCATTACACAAAGGGATGCAGGAATGGAGTCTGAAACAAACTATCCAGCTACAGTGTCAAAGCTGATACACGGGTATCTTTCAAGAAACTGCTGGGTAAAATCCTCAGATCACTTAGTTACTGACTGATCACGTTATGAGCCTGGATACCCTACCTCTCATTTGTAGCTTTTCTAATGATCTTAGGGTCTTACCGGGGTTGAGAATTGGGCAGGTACAGCCCCGAGCTGTCCAGGACTCGGGGTACAGAGTTATCTTTCTGCGCTGGATCTTCAGTTTTGTTTGTTGATTCAAAACCTTCTTCACCTTCACACTGACCTCGGCATGTGAGCCTTTGTCATGCGCAGATAGAATTTTTACCTTTAAGACTGCATCAAATAAAGGGAAAAAGGAGATATAATTTCTTAAGGAAATATACAATGTATACAATATTTATAAATATCTCATTTATGCCTGCTCTTCACTGTTACAAACCCCAAGCATTTTGAACACTGTACTTTGATAGCTGGTAAGAGAAAAGTAAACTTTTACTGAGAATTCTTTACAGAGTAAAAACAACAGCCCGCTATTGTTGCAGAGAAGTTGACTTCATAGCCAGCCCATATTCACGGTGTTAATGTTTAACCACTTTATTGTGTTAAACATCTTATTGCTCCAAGGTAAACACATCATTGTCCACCTCTGACACATGAACAGCTATTTTATTCTTCCTCTGATCCTCTAGTGATTCACTGATTTGCAACACACAGGGGAGATAGAAGGAGAAAAGAAAAAGAGATGTGAAACTAAAAGGCACTTTTTTAGCATGAGTCCTAACGGAAGCCTCTTTCATGCCTGTTTCCGCGAATACACAATCATCAGCTTTAAACAGAGAATGCTTATTTTTGGATTAAATAAAAAAAACACTGAGGTTAAGTATGAGCAGTATATTCAAATCCTTTGCATAAATACGACACATTTCTCTTCTTCAAATATTCCTAAGCTTGTCGTTTGAAGACTAGTGGACAATTGGGAATGTTCCAGCAATGGTTATCTTGCTTCACCTCTCATTCACTTTCAAACACATTCAGGTTCACAGCAGACCTCTGCCATAACACTGCTGTAAGCAACACAGCAGAGATCTAATGCAAACAACAGTACTGAAGGATACTCACCATAAGCGTATTTCATGGTGCAAAAGAGTTTGGGGTTGCCCAAGTCTTGCTCTTTACATTCACATTTTTCTATGAAAAAAGAAAATAATTATTAAAAGATCCTATTTTATTTTAAGGCCCTTTTTATAGCTACAGTGGTTTGTGAAGTTTTAAGGCAAAACAAGGGTGGCATCTAGAAAGTGACACCTGGATACTTCTGCTCACATATTGAAAAATGTTTGTCTTACTATTAAAAGATTTGGTTCCAGTTTGCTTACTGTAATTTGTTAATTATTAATAAGCACATCTCACAATATTTTACCAAAAAGACTGAATGCTTCAGGTGTTTAGTAGAGGACATTCAATTACTGATGTACATGGAAGCCTTTTTATTGTAGTGGATTACCAAAAACAAAAGAAACACACACAAAACAGAAAAAAACAAATAATCAGCAATAATGTGTAAATAAGTGCCAACAGTTGGTTTTTCTTTTACCACAACTCCCACAGTTCAGTAAAAAAAATATTATTAATTATTATCATTGCATGTGGTTTCAGCTTCCTGAGATTAAAGATTCATCAAAAGTGCTACACCACAAGTTCACATAATACTGTGTGATAACATCAATAAAGCATTTCCAGGTACTGCTACACATCTGAATACTGTCAAATAGCTTTCAAATAGCTTCCCGTTAAGAGATCTTATGAAACCTGAACAAAATCCAATCTAAAACATGTCAATAACAATGCTCACATACTGTACTTTATATCATGTACAGTATATATAGTATTACATTGTTCTGGGTTTAATTTTCCAATGTAGACACATTGCAGTAGCTACTGAGAAGCACTATAGTTTGCTCCACTTCGACTCTGCTATTCACTGGTGACATAAGCCGGCCAGAGAGGAAATGAACCTTGACAGGCAGACTGATGACTGACTTGAGGTCATGTGCTACTTGAAATGCTCCACAGTCTGTGAAATCTTAACCTCAGTTGTGTAGCCTGGGCTTTTAACTCCAATTAAGCTTATGAATTTTTAATCCCTACATGCATCATTCATTACTGTCAGTGCCGGATTTCCCATTAGGCACTGTAGGCACAGTGCCCAGGGCCCACGAAATTAAAATTAAAATTAAAAAAACACTAGTGACTCACGAAAAACGAGTTGAAACACCATGCTTTCAATCGACTCTTGGTGCCCCAAATCAATAATCACACACTATCTAGCAGCTGTTCTAGGAGCTAGAAGTATCGAAGTGATAAATCACGTGGTTTAGCATTAGAATAGTTTTAAGTTCATCATGTCAATCGATGTAATTAAATTGGAATTCACCCCTCTTTTTGCACATTTCGGAGTGAAAGTGCCCAGAGCCCACGAACACCAGAATCCTGCCCTGATTACTGTTGCAATACTTTTAATGTGTCCATTGTTTCTGATGGTTTAAAAATACAGTACAGACGGGAAATTTCGCATTTCGAAAATGAGTGGAAACGAGACTGAACACACCTGAGTAATGCAGAGCTGAGAAAAGTTCATCACCCCTCCAGTTCCACGCAGACTCGCTCTCATTGAAGGGAGATGGGAAATCGCCTCTTTGATACACATCCACGTCTGAGCTATGATTTGAAATGGATATTGAAGATTAAAAAAAAACTGTCAGAATGATTTTTCAAGGGCTCTGGGTGCAATTCTGTGTGGAGTTTGAACTTTATGTTCTGCCCATGTTTGCCTGGGTTTCCTCCAAGTTCTCTGGTTTCTCCCCACAGTCCAAAGACATTTAGTACGGTAACAAGCTTCTGGAAAATATTGTCCCTGGCATAAGTGTGTGTGTGTGTCTTTGTGTGCCCTGTGATGGCATGGCAACTCATCCAGGGTGTATCCTGCCTTGTACCCATTGCCTGCTGGAATAGGCTCCAGCTCGCCTTCGACCCTGTTTGGATACAAGTTAGAACATAGATGGATGATTCCCTCAGATGGCATCTGGTTCAGTTCCACACTAATTCATCTTCAGGAGAAAATCCCCAGTTAGGCAGTGGGAAGAAACCTATGTGAACACTGGCAGAAGATACAAACCCCATACAGATAGAATCCCAGGTCCAGAATTGAACACATGGTCCCAGAACTGTGAGGAAACAATGCTAAGCCCTGCTCCAACAGACTGCAGCATAGTCCAATAAAATCTAAGATACTGCTTCAGGCAATGTCAATAATGTCAATATCTCCACTTCCTAGAGCTTCAAACCAAAGGATGTTTACTTAGTTGTGCTGGGTGTGAGACACACTGATCAAAAGAATCACCCTGGTTTACCTCAGTTAATTAAGTTCTGGGTAAATGATTAAGTGTCAATCAGCAGTCCAGAAAGACACCTTACAAGATCAGATGAAGACAGTGATGAGAGGAAAAGAAAGAGGAAAAAGAAAAAGGGCAGACCACAAGCGTGAGAGGGGACAGGAGCAGATGGAACTTGAGACTTGTGCCAGGCAAGAGTACCTATATCCGAAAAAAAAAACGATCGGAGCTCAGTATTTGAATCTTGCTAAGAACATACTGTTCTATGTTATTATTATTCCTCTTTTCAGCGAAACTGCCAGAGAACAGATAATTCACATGCCTCTAATTATATCAACCGCTTAGACATATTCTTGGGGAAATCCTTACAATTTGGGGGTTATGATTATTTACTTTAGTGACTATTTTCATAACCCCCTATTTGTAACAACATTGAAGAACAGACCGCATAATGCACAAGTGTATCTAATCAAAGTCAAAGAATACTAGACACCATCTGTGCAGGGATTTTGCTTTTAATGTGAGAACAGACAAAGAAATGCGAGCAAAGTTACCTTACCTGGACACACAGTCGCCGGTGAAGGGGTCACAGCTGCCAGCACAGTCACACGGTCGGCAGCCATAGTCTCCAAATCCCCAGTAGCCTACCATGCATCTATCACAGTGTGGGCCCCCCACTCCCGGCTTGCAGACACATTCGCCATTGCTGGGGTCGCACAGGGACACCCCACTGAGGTGGAAGGGCACTGAGCCAACAGGGTGGCAGGCACACGCTGCAGATCAAAGACAGCAACAATCAGGATGCAGCCCTTCCTTCTATTAATCTCCCCGCGGATAAAGAGCTAAACCCGCTGTACAGTCATGTGAAGCCTGGCAGTGTAGTGGCTCCCTCATTTCACATTTTACTGGAAATATAAACGATCACTGACTGGCATGAGACAGAGAATGCAAGCAAGACATCGCATCTCCTTCAATGGATTGTGGCCTTTTTGGATTCTCCTTCTCATTATTCATTTTGATCTCAGAAGACAAAGGCCTTCCTTTGTTTATGTTATCAGAACATGGTATTGCATCACCCACAAAGAATAAAAGGACCTTTAAAATGCCGATAACACATCTATAAATGAATCAGGCAAAGATTTCACAACTGAGAAGGTTGTCAAGCTTGTGAAAAGCCTCCCAAGTAAACAATCCATTACACTGGATGTGATTTCTACCTGGATCAAATAATGTTTCTTACAACCCAGCCCTTCATTGTGCTCTTTTCCGCAAATATACTCAGCGAAACAGGGACAATGATAACCAATGTTTTATGTCAAAGAGTCTTGTTATGTCAATGAAGTTAGCTGATGCCATGACAGCCAAAAGTCTCTATTTTCTTAAAAGTACATAATGATGACTAAAAAGACTTTTAAATCTGAAATATTACCAAATGGTGAAAAATACTGGTAGCCCTAAAAGTGGGCAGTCTTGGTCGTGGAGGGCTGGTGTGTCTGCAGGTTTTTTAGGTCTCTTTAAAGCAGTGACACCAGGAGAATGGTATCAAACCTGTGCTGTTAAAAACAACTTGTTTAGGCAGCTAAGAGCTGATGTCAGAATGAAAGCCTATAAACACATCCAGAGATTGATCCCCGAACAGGGTATTGAAAAATGTTGCCATTTTCATTGTGTAGAAATTCTATAAAGAGAAGTCATTTTTATACATATATATATAGAAGATGCTTAGCAAGTTAATTTCTATTTCTAAGTTCTTAATCTACAGATTTGGCTTCTTGGAAGTTCTACTGTCAGCTTAAGTTTAATAGTACTACAGATAAAGCTAATACTTTTGCTTCACGTAGATAATTCTGAAAAGTGTTCTAAAAGACGTGAGAAAGGAGACAGTTAAAGTTGGCATTAATCTCTCCTTCTTACATCATAATTCATAATAAAACTTATTGTACAGAGATAAAGATAATTGTATGCTATAAAGTATTATAAGCATTGCAGTTGTAATTAGCCTAAGGGAATTACTACTTGGAAAGGAATATAAAGACTTTCTTGTCTTTCTACTTCATTTAAAGTAGGTCTTTGTATACATGTAGAGAAAACATGTTAAATATTCACACCTTTCAGTGAATCCAAGACTATCTTACTGTTACTATCAACTGCAGACAAGGTCATTCCTAATATCTAATCGGGATGTCTTTGCAGATCGCAACAGGAGCAATATATACACCTTCTTTCTCTGGTTGGCAAAGACTAGAGCATGACAAAATCCACCCGCCATCCAGGCATGCTACTGTTCACTTCCAGAAGGAAAACGGTAGAATAGTTTTTTTGCCTCTACTTCCTTCCATGGCTTAGTAATCACTTTTACAGACACACAGTGGCTCTAGTGCAAATCTGAGAATGTAATACAATTCCCAAACCATTCCTCTCTTCTTATTTTTACCCCCTTAGTCACACTCTTTGGAATACTTGCAGGAGATCAGTGACAGGTAAGCTACAGAGAAAAACTGGCGTCATGCAGTGCTGAGCCAATGCTGAAATAAGTGTTTTGCGCAAGCCAGAATTGATCTTACCCTGTGTTATGGTCGGCACACTCTGCTTTCTACTATGAGCACTTCTGTTCTGCCTTCACACACCTGCCAGTCAAACACACAGGCAAGCACCGTGACTCTTCCAAGACCTCAGCTACACCTGGCTGCGTGTCAGCAGAATGAAAAATAGAACTGGGCTTCATCCCCGACTCATGTCATGGCTAAGGTCTGATTAATACTGTATGTTAACAAGCGATACTGGCAGACCAGACACCAGCTCCTTAAAGATCTTTTACACTTCAGGATGAGTACTAAGCAGTGTGGGCCTACACTGTGACATCTCAGGAATGCTGACAGGTCCTAGAAAAATGACAGCTCTGTACTATCTCCTTACACGTGACAGAACTGTAGTATATTAACTTCTGTTTACAACAGAAAGGACAAAAAATAATTTCACGTGAACTATGTAATGTAATACCATTTCACTATTTGGCAAACATAAGAATGGAAAATATATTTTCGTCCTTGTATTTTACCCATACCGGTCCATTCCTAAAGCAAATGTTTGAGGTGTTGTTTTAACGTAAGCTGGGGGTCCTGCAATTTCTGTAGGATTTAAAAACTGCGATCCCACACCAACTGCCTGGGCTGCCCATGTTCAGCAGGCAGGAGCTGACTGGATTCTTGTTCATGCATCCTCTACACTGACTGGCCTGTGCATGGCCTATCCAGAGAGTACATGTGGAATCTACTGTATGTGGAAGTGCACTAAAAACAAAGAACAGGGGGGACTTCTTTACACAAAGTGTTGTGGGGGTGTGGGACAGTTGTAGAAGCCAATATCCTGGTTTCTTTCAAGAAATGGCTGGATGAGATCTTTTGCATCAATTAACTACTCACTACCAAATGGGCTGGATTTGTAACCATACATAAGCTGCTGCATTTCTTGTAAGAACCCTTTTTATAAAAGGACACATTGTTCTTGTTTGTTAAAACCACTCTGCAAATATTTTCTTTATGATAAAATAAAACATTTTAGAGAATGTTTTATGATGTAAACACTCCTCCTAAGAGATATTATTTTCTAAAAGGTCAGAATTTTATTTTTCATTTCCAGGAGTCACTATTTGAGTCGTACTCTTTAGAGAGATAAAAGGGTAGCTAACTGGCTATCAAAAATAAAATTTTCCTCCTAGAGTAACAGTTCTGTAATCCAGACACACAGACGTTAAGTACAATATCTGAAAGGTTGTCATTTATACAAATTTCATTCTGTTCCCAAATGCTTGATAAGACTTATCAGCTTTTATCATGATGGTATGCAGCTCATAAGGCAAATCTGCTACAAGTAAATTCTTTCTTAAATATTTTAAGCCTGACAAGTAACCCAAACAAGGTCTGTTGAACCAGCGCTTATATAAGAAGTAATCACTGCATATATTCGAATATAGAACATTAGAAGTGGGAATATCTCCATTTTTAAATGAATGCTAAGTACTCTGATATCAGATAATGAGAAAAGCCATGCAAAACCCGTGTTGCACTAGTCCTAAGTTCAAGACAGTCATTTTATGAAAGGTTGTTTGTAAGTAAAGCATGCAACTCTAATAGTCTAATAGCACTTTTAAGTCATCAAGGCTGTGTAAGTTTAAAAAGAATGCTGAGTTGTTGTAATTTGTGTCATACACACATCACTTATTTTAATTATTTGGAGCCTAGAGTGAAACATGAAGGCAAAAACACCGCAATCCTTGCCTGTTTTAAATGAACCTTGCCGTATGCTTGACTGGACAGGTTTTCCAATATGTGCATACATCTCTGAGCACAGTGGCAAGCATGTAGAATGTTCAGTATAACAACATGTGCAAGAGGAAACCAACACAACAAATCCAAGAAACACAGAGAACAGAAAATTCTCAAACATTCAGCGGTTTGTGAAAACTGGAGTGTGTAGTTTGAATCCGGTCTCCTGTGCTGATTTTCAAGGCAGCATTCAAGTGCTTTCTCTGTTCTCAAAGCTGCATGAGAATATCCTTTTGCTCAATTGAAATCAAATTGCACATTCGCTGTGCCCAGTTTAAATAAATTAACACAAGCGATTGGCGCCTCTCTCTATAGATTCCCTGATTACATTTGCTTTTGTTCTCCTGAATCAAATGGATGTCTGGAAACCTCGGCACTTGTTAATACCCTGAATGCGCAGCCGAAAGCTGTCAAAGAGAGAAAGAAGCAACTGCATTTCAAACCTAGAGAAAATGCTAAAATAAAAGAGCTGGTCTTGCAACATTAGACTGCACTGTTTCTCAGCAGAAAGACGAGTCCTAAAGAGAACAAGACAACACCAGTACTACTCCTGTAAACAGTGTGGAATGTGGTAAAAGAAATTTATCAGAAGTTTAAAAACCCTTCTATGATACTTACAGACTTATAAAAAAAGGCTCAGCCATTAAGACCAGCAGATTATATCAGGAATGTAAACGGAAAGTACCTCCTAGCCATTTAATTCTTTCTTTTATTATTTCTTTTCAGTTTGTTTAAAAAAATGTATTTTCTCAAACTGGTTCTCTAACAGTAGTAGATTCAACACCGCTTTGAAGAAGAAAGGAGGAACTAATAACAAATCAATAATATAAACATATTTTGGGTTACAAACCATTGTGTCCACCATAAAATATGACTATTTTAGACTAAATGGCAACATATTATTTACTGATTAGTATTTTATCCAATCTCATTTGGAAATCCCCCAGCTGGAATTTTATATTATATATTGATAATGGCAGAATCCTGGACAGTGGGCACACACGCAAGTGATCAAGAAAGAAATCAATCAGGGACGTGGACTCTGTTTTGATTTTGCAGAGTCTGCTCTGCATGAAATGTCCATTAGCACCCAGAAAGCGTGAGGAAAAACCTCTGCTTGGGCTCCATACAAAAACCACCATTCAGAATCTTTTCTATAAATCAGAGGGAAGAAATGAGCAGGCGAACGCATTCAGTTAAAATTAGGAGTAACAACAGAAATATTGACAAAGAGAATCACGCATAGGAATTCAAAAAGGGGCGTATTGGTATGTAAATGAGCCATTTGAGATGTCCGTTCAAGTGTATTCTCTGAGTGAAATTTAAAACGGGAACAGCAGAATCTTTGTTAGAACGACCTCAAATACCCAAATTCACAGTTCTTGAGAATTACTATTAGGAGAACACATTGGACCACTGCACAAATTCTCCCTGGAACTCTTGTCTTGAACTTCTTATATTAACCCACTCAGCTTAATGCTGAAGCTTGGGGCAAAAACACAAACGTCTCATATACTTTCTCGTTTGTTTCAGAAACACTTTAGTGCATGCCAAAGATTCCATCTGGAAATACATACCATATACACTGTAATTTTAAATTAAAAGCCAGCAGCACCTTTAAAAGGGTAAATAGTTGTCGAATAAAGCAAAGTACGTCATAGTAATAAAATAAGCCTTAATATAATACTTTAGGATTAGCTGCCCAAGGTCAAATTGGCACAATGCAAAATCAGAGAGGCTTGGGGAAGGTAGACAAATTTAGGAATATACATACTTAAAACATTGCATAAAGTTACATAGAATAATACACGTTTCTATCCAGGATGCAGGGTGTCTAACCACGAGCCTAACAGCTTTGGCTGAACTCAGCAGCCTCAACAGCGAAGCCAAATCAGAATACCTAACAATCTTATTCTGTAGTTGTGGATAAAGCTTTTATCAGTTTTCAAAATAATCTACATTCTACTGTATATGGAATTCTCTGCAGGACTGAAAAAAAATCAAATATTAAGTATGCAAACTAAACCTGATTTATAAAACAAATTTTATAAACTGACTTTGCAGCTGAATGTCCTATTTGAAAACATGTTTTTATTTTAATAATATCCTCATTCATATCTTGAATGAATCAGAATATTGGCTAGAATCGTTTGTTACATACTGTTATCGCTCATCGTTTGCAAATTGTATGCAGGTTTCTGCTCAAGGCGTTAAATCCCTGGGCCTTTCAGTTTTTTTTGGGGTTACCCTGCTGAAGCTTGCACTAAGACAGCAAAAAGAAAAATAAATCTTTCACAGTTTAAGAACAGGAATTATTCAATATTACAGTAGGAACACGCGTGCTGTGACTGAAGTAAATCTTAATCTCGCCTGCCTAACATAGTTCAGGATTACAAAGTTGACTTGACAGAGAGATGTCAAGTTCACAACGGTAACTGCTACCGGAGAGAACCTCTCTTGCTACTCTCATCACTCTGCATTCACCTGCTTTTTGGATAGGTTTTCTAAATTGTTATTCACAGAAACCAAAAAAAACAGCCTCCCCTTAAATCAAATACCTCAGTCTAAATTGTCAATAAATTTGGTTGCTCCCTCTACGATCTGTCTGTGTTTTAAACCGGCTCCTGTCTGTGTCTTTAGAATATGTTAGCTACCCCAGTTTATTTAGGCCCACAGAATGTGTATTTACATCCATAACACACCAGGTGTCTACAATAAAAAAATATTTGTGAATAAAAGAGCCTTAACGATTGTTTTAATAACTCTAAATAAAAGATTCTTTGGAATCTAGACAAGTGTTCTTCATTCTTACCGATGATGAATCAATCTGCTGTTTCCGGACTCTGCAGAATGGTGAGTCACATTTGAAAAATTGTTTTGTTAAATGTTTGTGATTCTCTTCCTGTTTTTATCCTTCTCTTGGCTTGCCATTATATTCTGGTTACTCATGTGGTCAGGTGCCCATCAGTATTGCATAAACTGACTTGTGCTGGCTTGTTCCCTGAAAACCTGTGGAATTTCACACAGGGGAATCTCTAACTCTGTGTTGTTTATTGGCTCAGCTCCAGTCTAGACGGCTGACACTTCTCATGATCCTTCTTAAAACACAGCCCTTGCTAATACACCTCTCTCTGTTAGGTCACTGTATGGGCATACTCTATGGAGGGGGCGCCATTCCTAAAATGAGCTTTCCTCTCCAATTTTTTTTTTTAAATGAGCCTTTTATTTTGCATTGTGCATTTATGTAAAACTGCAGCAAAGCCTGTGTTAGCTGTACTGAACAGACTACACAATACTACAGAGAAGCAGCCTACAGTGTGGTACAGTCAAAGCGTCACTGAGCAAACCTTTATTGAAACACGACTGCCAGAAACAAATTGAGTAGATTCTTAAATTAATATGTACTATTAGTCTACAAAATGTTTTACATACATTTAAAAAATGAATAAGTCTGTAAAAATTCCTTCCTGTATTTTTACCTCTATTTTTTATCCTAAAATCGTGTTGCAGAAAATGGAGCAGCTGAATTTCAACAGGAATTAATTTGTTTTTTCTTCCCATTTTGAGTGCCTTATTGTGAAGGTTTGAGATAATGTGTAAGCAATGCTGCTGTGTTTACATAATGGCCATGTAAGTAAACACAGAGCAGGATACAAATAATTAAAGGGTTAATAATTAAATATGTTACAATTGAGTCACCGAGGGATCATTAAATCAGTCATATTGACATGCTAAATATTCAACAATGATTGGAACATTCTTATTTATGTGGAAATTTTGAATATCTTTATTGTAAAACCAGCATGCTAAAATCATCTTTCCTACTTTAGTGATGCCTTTATTTCAAATAGACAACTTCTACTCAACTGTAAGCATCTGCTTAGTAAGGCAGATTTAATCCTGGTTAGGATACACCTTGTTGATTAGGATGCAGTTCTCTCTTTGGCTGGTTATATCAATTAGATTATAAAGATCTATTTCTGGGTATTCTGTCTGTAGTGTAACTGATTGCTGTGTAATGTTGTGTGCTGCGTAGTAGTGTTTATTTCCTGTTAATAAATATGTGATTGTCTTGTCTAAGCCTGGGCCTAATTCTTACTCTATTTTAAAGCTGTGCAAGATAAAAAACGAGGTGACATAACTAATCTTATGTTAAATATTATTTGCTTACATAGCAAGATTGTACCAGGACCCGTTTGTTGCCTCCATGACCCCCTTATTTTGTAGTTTAACTACCCCTCCTTATTTGGGCACCATTATAATAGTTAAGTATCTTCATTCAAATTGGCACAAAGAAATAAAGATTTAGGTTTATAAATCATACATTTTTGTAATTCCCAAATTAAAGATGTTAACGCTTTTGAGGAAAAAAGTAAATAGCAACCTGAAAGACCTTTTGTAATTACCTGTAAACAACTGAACCACTGCATACCAACATGTATTCTCATCCATACTATCTTAGAGGGACTCTGTCTCTGGTAAGCTTGTTCTGAGATATTAACATTTAGGATTTCTTGTGAACAATAAGATTGTGACCCCAATCTTTAGCAACAATAAAGCAAAAACTCTAATGCTGTTTTACAGAAACAATTGTACCCTGACCTCATAGTACAATACACCAACTAGAAGCAAATAAAATCCTCACAATCTTCCGATTGCTATCATACAGCAATCAATAATAATAATAATAATAATAATAATAATAATAATAATAATAATAATAATAATAACAAAAACAAGAACAACAATAATAATGAATAATTCCTTACACTTGTATAGCACTTTTCTGGACATTCCATATAGAGCTCTACAGGTAATGGGGACTCCCCTCCACCACCACCAGTGCGCAGCATCCACCTGGATGCACCAGTACACTCTCCACACACCAGCTCTCTGAGGGGAGGAGAACACAGTGATGAAGGAAACTCATAGAGGGGGATTATGAGGAGGCCATGATTGGTAAAGGCCAATGGGAAATTTGGCCAGGACACCAGAGTATACCCCTACTCTTATTGAGAAATGCCCAGGGATTTTTAATGACCACAGAGAGTCAGGACCTCGGTTTTACATCTCATCCAAAGGCTGCCTTTTTACAGTACAGTGTCCCCGTCACTATACTGGGGCATTACGACCCACACAGACCGCAGGGTGAGCGCCCCCTACTGGTCCTACTAACACCTCTTCCAGCAGCAACCTTAGCTTTTTCCCAGGAGGTCTCCCATCCAGGTACTGACCGGGCTCACACCTGCTGAGCTTCAGTGGGGCTGCCGGTTATGAGCTGCAGGGTGATAAGGCTGTTGCAGGGCTGGTGCAGGAGTTGAATATACCTCCCTTTGGGAGTGGAGTGTCCAGAAAAGCGCTATATAAGTGTAAGCTGATGATTCTGAATTATTTTTTTTAAAACACGACAGGCCTACTTCCACGCCGGTGCCAGTCACCAGGAAGAAGGCCGGACTGCGGGGTCAAGCGGCTCTTACGGGTGCAGGAGTCAGGGGCAGAGGAGGGCCGGTGCGGGTCTCTGTAGAAGCCGCTCTTGCAGAGCTGGCAGTTCCGGCCCTCGGTGTTGTGCCGGCAGTGGTCGCACACCCCTCCGCTGCGCTGGCCCGAGGCTAGCCATGCACCCCAGTCAAAGTGACAGCTGTCCGAGTGGCCGTGACACTTGCACTCTACATCAAATGGGGAGGGGGGGGGGGATCGGGAGACAAAGCCAGTCAGTATGCCGGACCGACAAAGCAGAAATAATTAGGCCTCTTCCTTTCCACCTTTTATCTTGCTGCCTTCTTGCAGATTCCGAGCTTATAGGTTTATAGGCCCCGTGTAATTAGGGTAAGCGGAACAGAAAGCTATTAACTGTCGTCAGGTCCGATTATTCTCGCTCCACGGCTTGCATATCCCTTTCGGACATGCAGAAAAAGAGATCCATAGGCCGGCGCCTAATTTCCAACAGGTTTGTCCATTTTTAATTGCTTTTGCCAATTTATTTTTTGAAACCAGTTTGTCGCCCGAATCTTTTATTCGGACAGGCACCACACAAAATGTTAAAACGAGAGACTAGGCCATCGTAATAATTAGGTAATGCATAATGTATGTAGATTAGTTCAGTTGGGTAGCCGCGTCAGCATGCGTAGGCAGCAAAGGAACAAGTAATAGGTTTATTCCATGCTGAGAAGAGAAGAAAGAAAACACAACGTTTCAGTTAAGCTCACACCTGAAGAAGGCTCCACAGCCGAAATGTTGCGTTTTCTTTCTTCTCTTTTCAGCACGGAATAAACCTATTACCTATTCCTTTGTATGTAGAGTGTTTAATATGGTGGCATGTTAATGACATGAAATGGAGACGGCATAATTATGGTAGGTGTCAGCTTTAATGACTTACTGCTAACGGGAAAGTAAAAATCAAAAACAAAGAATCCCACGAATGACTTTTACATTTTTAATTTAACCAAAGTGATGTTATTTTCCTTGTAAGGGTGTGAGCTTATCACTAATAAAGACATATAACCAGTCTTGTGCAAACACTACTTTTGACATAATGTGTCATACAACCTAGAAAGAACACAAAGATGTGTTTTATCTATTCATTTATCTGCTTCAGACAAGCAATGTTTAGAACAAGGGTCTGACTGCTGCTATGATTTAAGTACTTATTTAAGAACTTATGATTTAAGTTCTACTTGATCTCTTTTCCACCTGATTAAGCGATAGAGCATGTACATTTTTTACTCATGTGCACCATAGATCAAACACATTTTATGAATGTACTTTTCTGTACAATGAGTGCAATAACAAACCAGTGTACCTCAGCAGTAGATGGAGTTTTTAATGAAAGTTCGGGAGGAATGAAGGCAGCTGAGTTCATTCGACACAGCTGCTTCAATTCCCACTAATTCTGACGTAAGCAACCGGTCTCCATATATACCAAACGTCACCCTCTCCTCTTCCTCATTCGTTTTCTGCATCCCTCCTCCACCCCCTCTCCACCTTTGCATCTGTCCCATTGGTCTCATGGGGGTCCTATCCTCCCCGTCCGACGGCCGGGAGGTTGGCCCTCAGCCAAGTGGGTTACGCCAAATCTCCACATCCCAATAAATGATTCTAATTTCTCCCAACCTTTTGGCTGCTGTCATTCCTCGTGAAACACATTTTAACAGTGAGAAACATGTGACAACACAAATTAGAAACTGTGGTCAGTTTCGCTGAAGCTTTTTGAGATGATTCGATAGATTACTGCCTTTACCAAGGGTTTCAGGCTTACAAAACCGAGCACATCAAATTTGTATTTCAGTTTCAAGGTGTTTCTCTCCATATGAGCTAGAGAAGCAGCTGAGAGATCTGAAACAGCACCCATACCTTACAAAAACCCCTCTAAAACATTCCAGAGATCTAACAGGACAATCATCATTGGTGACAAACCGTTCACCGTTTAGACATGTTAGGACCAATGATATTATTCTTTTTAAATCCCCATTTCTTCTTCACATCATACAGTAAAAAATAATAAGTGTGCATAAAGATTGGCTCTTTAAAACTCTTTTTGAAACAGAGTTTCTAGAACTCTTGGGAAATCAGTATTAATAAACCCAATATAATAGAAATAATCGTTACTAAGTAAGAGCATTTTTTCACAATATCTTCTGAGCAAAATGTGAATATTTCTGTACATGCAATATAGATGGCAAATGATTGCACATGCCCTGCAAAAATGATGAAATTCAATCATTTTTTCAGTTCAACTTCAGAATGACAGAAAATATCAATCTATTGTACTTAAGAAATCCCGGTGCACAGAAGGAAGATAAGAACAGATTCAAATAATATACTAAAGTGGAAAAACTTGCAAAGTAATTCTCTCTAGATCCCACAGTACCTGAGTTATGAGTGTGAGTAAAAGGCTTTCTCTGAATTTTTATGAGCTAAGTTAGAAGTTAAGCAAAGACTGGTGTTTAAACACATCAGGTAATGAGCAGTAAAGGGTGCCTAGATGCTCTTTTACTTAATGGAGATACTGGTGTTTTACTTAATACAAATAGAATGAAACATACTTTAATTATGGATGCATACAGAGGCATGTCCAGTAAGTCAACACGTTACTTACTTTTACATTCATGTGGAGCCCCAGTCAGTCCATCAGCAGGCAGCCAGGGCTGGTCATTGTACAGAGGGGCGCAGCGCTCACAGTGATCACCTGCTGTATTGTGTTTGCAAATGCACTTTCCATGGACCTGGTGGACAACGGGCAAAAGGGTTGGTTTGATAAAGAAACACTGGCGAGGTTTCTTACTTTGTGTGGTTAAATATTTTACAGACATGGAACGCAAAACCAGTTCAAAGATATCGACATGCCCATAAAAACATGCTCCACGAAAGGTTTTTAGATTTTAAAGTGTACAAAGTGAATGCATTTGCTTTCTGTCACTACTGTAAAATAAGCCATTCCATTTCAGCTTACTTCCACGGTGTTCCCAGGATCAACGCACTGTGCTTACACAACATGATTAAAGAATTATTCGCTGACCTCTGTAAACTACAGTTAAGCTCTCAACACAGTAAATCCCTTCGTGCAAATATTTGTTAACACTTTCTGAGTATTAAAAAGACATGTCTTCAAAACCCATAGTAACCAGCCCTTAAACCTTGAGGAAACCCAGAGAGACACAACAGCACTGAAAGAACATTCCACAAATCGAACGTTAGGAAAGCAGAAGGCTCTGGGAGTATTTTTAACAAAGTAACCCTGAGAAGCTCTCTCAAGTTCCGTTACTTATAGCTGGTGAGGATAAGTGCAAAGAAATCTTTCTAAATTTGGAACCAGGAAAAACAAGACCTTCAGCTTCTAAGTCCCAGATGAGTGGCTGTAGTTCAGGACAGTCTCATTCCAAATCACTGAAAAAAATTTTACAGTGTCTTTCTACGGTGTTACAGGTAATACTGGTGTATACTGTATTTAAAGAACATGCATCATGCACTAGGAAAGAGATATTAAAGACTAGAAACCGTATAAAAAAATATCAGAGCAAACAGAAACCTACTGATAGGAACCAAGTGCTAATTGCTACCACATTATCATTAAATTACATAAACAAAACAACATGTATGAGTGATGAAACAAGCCATTAAGAACTCAGAGGCAGTGGCTGGCAGAGATCCAGCTGTTACTGTCCACAGCACCTACATTAATCACAAAACACATTTACAAGTTGGTAGGAGAAGATTAGCCAAAACAGCTGGTTCAGTTTCTCTGCTCTTCCCTTGCTTTTGCAATCAGACAGTGGCTCTAGTCTTCAGCGATGGACAAACGGGTGACGGGTTTCAGTCTAGACAAAAGATTATGCTCGGCACTGTTTTGGGGTCACACACATTGGCCTTAAAGAAAGAGGAAGTTCTAAATTAGGTCTTCTTCAGCCTGGGAATCCGGATGACTAGTTCTTCAACAAAGAGCCGCTTTCAAATGACTGCTTCCAAAAGCTCAAAATTGCAAAATTATTAATGTTATTATTGTAGTCATTTTCCCTCCACAATGTATATTTACACATGACTGCTGATTTGTTTTACAGAGCAACCATCTCAAAGCACTTGTGAGTAAGGAACAACTCCTTATTGTGTGCATGAGCTCATAGCTTTTTAGTATGGTTTAAGAAGATAAAGCTGGAGCAAAGGAAAATAAGCCTTAGAAGTAAATGCAATAAGTCACCTAAAAGAACAGAGGAAGAGGAAGGCTTGCACAAAAGAAAATGAGTCATATTTTGAGCAGTGGAGTAAATGAGTTAAGAATTATAGAAACCTAAAGCAAATCTTGGCAAAACTGAAGCTAAAAAGCAAGGAAATGCATCATGGGTAAAGATTATGTCTAGAAAACATTTTAGACAACAAAAGCCTGCTTTCACCACAAATCAATCTTGCACTTATTCAATGGAAAACATTTCCAGAGCACGCCTCAATCTTCAGTGTTTACAAAGTTTTAATCTTTCAGACGATCCCCTTCTTGTTATCGTTGTTTGGGTTATGCAGATTCTACAATCCTGTGGTGAAAAACATAGACTGCACAGGGCAGAACCACTTTCTATAACATCTTCCACATCACAATTTAGGAGTGAGTCATATATAAATCCACATACAGATATATTTTTCTAAGGCATATCAGCAGTGGCTACGATACAATTAATGCACATGGACTGGTTTTGTCACATGGCACACTAGGTGAACTTAATTTAAGCATTGTTACATGTTCCCTGTCCAGTCTTTCAAAAAAAATGCTCTCCATTTCAGGTCCTATTTCTTTAAATAGGAAAGATTTGAAAAAGAAAACTACCAGAAATACAACCTAGGTTTGTAAGGCTTTTAATTCCAATGTGTTCCAAATCTTAATCCAAAATGTGACTGACTGAGACTATCAATTAAAGATTGAAGTCATGTTATCAGTGCTGAATAATAATAAATGTTCTTTCTTTGAATTGCTCATGCAACACATTATTTAACTGCCAGTACACTTCATTAACAAGTTTAAATTCTGAATTTGTTCTTTATCTGATCAACTGGAGACCAGTGGTCTCTTGCTGTATTTACAAGATTAGGTTAGCCACTCTTTCTGCTCACTTCATATAAATTAAAAACCTTCATAGCCTCTCATTTAAATATGATTAAAGACAAAGCAGCACAGTTAGCAGAGCATCATTTTTACGTTTGCAGGAATCATTCAAGTACCTATCTGATACCATCCATGGGGTATCCATGCACAAATCATTTATATGCCCAAGACTAACTCTTTGTTCTCTAATCCCTAATACTTCTTGTCTGAAAGCGCAGCTTCTCTTTAGGCTTGCCAAAGACATAACGCTGTCTTTGTCGTTGACTGCAAACAACTCGTATTTCTTTTTATTTCTGGAATCAAACACCATGAGGATGACATTCATCGAGGAGTAGTGGCTAGGACTCTGAACACAAAACTAGAGGGTTGTGGGATTAAATGCCAGGTGGGGCCCTGTGAATTTCTGATGGAGAAAGGCTTGTTATTTACCAACCTGCTATCTTCATTAAAACAAATTCAATAAATGGATATAAAAGTAAGTTGCTGTGGATAAAACCATCTAAAAAAACAATTACACCCATTGGGATGAATAAAGTATTCTGAATTGAAGTGAGTTAAATTGAATATGTTAATAAGAATAATAGATCAAACAAACAAAAAACACTTCTCTTTGTCAGCGGTCAGCTGAAAATGTCAGTGGTTTATCATCCTGGTTATTTTTGGATATGGTTTCTGTCAATGTGCCATGTTTTTTTCTCCAACATGTACACATTAGGAGGGTGTTTATCCTAACATGGCATATCAAATCTCTAGAAACGGGCAGATCTCTGCTTATATTCTGCAGATATTCTGGACTTGAGTAGGTTAAATTTAGGATTGAAATTAAGACAATTCAAACCAGTGTCCAGTATCAACCCAGCAGGAAAATATAGTCAGGGGTACTTGTCTTAATTCAGATGAAAGTGAGGCAAAGAATGTCTCCAGGAAGCTAAAGGAAAATAAATACAATACAGCCTCTGGTAAAAAGCAAATGGACTGAGACAGTCACTTACAGTATGAATGTAAGCACTTGGTCCTGCATACAACCATCACATAAGCAGCAGAAGCTGGGGAGATTTTCAGTTCATATCACATAAAAATTCAGCAAACTTGCTGACCTATTGGGACATTAGAGCTATCTGGGGTCAAGGTGCTCAGTCAGAGCACAGGTTGAGCCCAGATGTGCCGACATGGGCTGTGTCATCATTGGATAACGGTGACCAGGATCAGCCAAAGAGCTGTTGGAGGTGTGGGGGCTTGAACCAAGCAGGCTGACAAGCAGGGACTCCCTGGGACTGGATGGGTACAGGTGAGCTTCCGGTGAGCTTTGCAAGAGATGCATTATTCCTCTGGTCATCACTGCTTTTCCTGTACACACAGCCTGCAGTAAGCGCATACGTCTAGCAGATCAACAACGTGCTTGCTGGAGGAGCACGTGTACGGGGCTTGTGCCCTCCACACGCTGGCGCCAGGCTCACCCCAGTGACGACTGACGAGTCCCAAGACAGACAGCATGAAAAGAAAAGGTCACTGTGCCTTCTAAATCTGGGGGAGGGGGCGTCGGTGAGGACACATGTCATACCTATCTGGGAAATGGCATACCACACCACACATGATGCGGATTAAGGAGCAAACTCTAGCCTGTGTGTCTCTAGGAGGTGGGAGGAAACCCGAGCAGCCCACAAAAATTCGGAGAAGATGCAAGCTCCATATATATGACTGAGAACAGAACAGAACCCACTGCTACAGTATAAGGCAGCGGAGCTACCACCAACCACCAACCAGGACCTTACTGAAATGACAAATACGCAGGCAATCTGCTCACACTTTTTAGCTGCTGCTTTTTCCCCTCTCATCCTGGAATGACCCCCCCCCCCATTATTTAAAGTGAAATACAGACAGCACTTTGCAGTTTTTCTTTCATTTTAAAACGGTTTATCTGCACCAACAGCTGCGTAAACCTCTTTTTACAAAAATGACAAGAGAAACCCATAGAAGCAGACAGAGGCAGGTGAAAGGCTGTAACTGCTAAAGGCACATGAAATGTTAGACGGATTAAGAAGTCACTTAACCCTAAAACATACGCAGCACGACGGGGGCACTCTTCAGAGCCGTGCCTGAACCCATTCAGGCAGAAATGCACATTGTCTGTACACAGCAGCGTGCTGATGTGGTTCACCAGGGAAATATGGGAGGGGAAAGGTTAATAAGTATCGAAATGTCAGGTCAAGAAGGGCAGCCCTCCACCTTTTGCAGAGATGGGCAAGGCTCATGAAGGGGATTGGGAACACACAATTGCTGAATTTCATACCTTTCCCCACGGAACAACAGATACCCAGAGGGACAATCGTTCAAAACAAACTGAAAATGACATTTAAAACACTCCAAAGGTGAACTAACAGTCAGTGTACAGACTAAAGACCAATTATTACTCAATAAACTGACTAAAAGTGCCCATACGATACATACTAGGTGTTAAACTTGTATGGTAAAACACACTTTCTCACCAAAGAATTAGTCACCATGGACAGTATGTGGCAAATTACACCTCATCTCTCCTGTCTATGAAGCTCCTGCTCGGTACTGGCCTTTAGCAGATTATATATTAATTCTGGGAGGTTTACAAACAGCAAAGAAACCTGGGTTCCAGTTCAAGTAGTAGTAGGAATGCTGTATAGTAGAACAGTTAGGTGCAGAGCAGGGGGAAAGTTAAAATTTCTCTTTTTTTAATTTTAATTTTTAATTACTGGTAATTAAGTTGTAAGCTACATTTATGTGGGGATAACTTGCATTTCACCATAATAATATTGATTTCACTGAAATAAAGCCACTGGGGTCTGTTAGTTTTGCCAATGAATTGGCTACTTTTTCTGACCTGCTTGCCTTTTACCCCATTTTCCCATTTTGTTATGTCTCAAAATCAGATTTGTAAGTGATTTTTAATTAATCATCATATGTAGTTAAAATAGTGTTGTAATTTAGGATACACTAAATTAGCATGAAAATGACTCTCAAACACTGGAAATGAACATCTATTTCAAAGCGAAGTAGAAGTGAATTTACTACAGGACCATACATTTCACTTCACAGACCTACAAACAGCACACTACAACCTGAAGCACCATGTAAAACTGAACGAACAACTTGCTGATTTGTCGATTTGAAATCCTCAGCAGTGCACCTATAAGCTTGGAATATGAAATCCTTCCACACATGTAAAATCAGGTGAAGTGAGGCTACACAGTGGAAATGTAGAGAAAAACCTAGAGCCGGAGGAACATCTTTACCTAGAGGGATGCGGGAGAATGGAACAAGCAAGCCAATCATGTTGTCGAACCTGATACCCTGGTTTCTTTCGAGAAATGGCTGGATGACATCATAGGATCAATCAGCAACCAAATATTAAATGGGCCAGATAGCCTTATCTCGTTTATAACCGTCCTTAAGTTCTTATCACAGAATACAGGTATATATTATTAACTCTATGGTGATACTGTTCACTTATTTCTAAAAAGCCACTGTGGACAAAGGGCTCTACCAGAAAAAGACCCATTTCAGAAGGATCGGGGCAGACTGGGTCATGTAGTACAGAGAAAAGCACTTCGAGTCCAGGCTGAGCCATTAACTATGCCTGACAAATGAACAGTGGAGAAATGATGTGTGCCGGAGTGCCATTCGTTGGCAGTGGCAGCAGGCCGGGTTGTTTAAATACACAGCAGTCACAAATTGCGAAGGGGTTTCAACCAGTCAAGGCACTGGCCTGAGCACGGGTGGGGATCCGGGTGTGCTGAGGTCCAGGTGATCGCTACCGCGATCAGAAATTCTCCCGTCAACACAACATAGTTTGCCGAGTGCTGCCGAGCGTAGGGTGGGCTCAGCCAGCAAAATCACAGCGAGTGGCGGTTTAGAGGCAGGGTGGTCTTTGATGCCACTGTCATAACAACCGCCTTGCTACAAGGGGCTGGTGAAGGCCCCCTCCTCGTTTGTGAATAGGCACTAAAGGGACGACAAGGTTTTTCCTTGGTTCCGCTCACCACATGCTGCGTCCTCTCCCTGACTGGCCGGTGTCCCTCCGCGGGCACACAGTGGTCTGCGTGGCCGTTGCAGAAGCAGCTGCCCTTCACGATGAAGTCGTAGATGGCGTAGTGCGCCAGGTGCTGGAGCTTCACGTCCGGGTGTTTGTCCTGACAGGGGCACGGCTGGCGCTTCAGAAGCTGCACCCGGATGTTGGTCACCTTCAGCTGCTCCTGCGCCTCGGCGCTGTAGGGGTTCAGGGTGTGCCACGGGGGCAGCGCTCGGAAGATCACCTGCGGGGAGACAGGGGGGGGAGGAGGGCGCCGTCAGCGAGTACTGCTGTGCAGGGTCATTTGGCCCCAAGGACACAAATGTTTTTTTTTTTAATTATTACTGCAGATACTAATTAATAACAGAAACACTATACTGTAAACAGGCGCCGTCCTTCGGATGAGACGTAAAACCGAGGTCCTGACTCTCGGTGGTCATTAAAAGAGTAGGGGTGTAACCCCGGCGTCCTGGCCAAATTTCCCATTGGCCCTTACCAATCATGGCCTCTTTATAATCCCCATCTATGAATTGGCTTAATTACTCTGCTCTCCTTCACACTGAGAGCTGGTGTGTGGTGAGCGTTCTGGCGCACTATGGCTGCCGTCGCATCATCCAGGTGGGGCTGCACATTGATGGTGGTAAAGGAGAGTCCCCATGACCTGTAAGGCGATTTGATTGGAATGTCCAGAAAAGCACTCTATAAGTGTAAGCAATTATTATTTTTATTATTATTATTATTAAATAGCTTTATTATGTCCTTTAAAATATATTATTAATATCCATACATTTTACCTGCTGCTCCATAATACCAATATCCGTAGATTAAAGAGCTTTCAGTTAACCGTTCGGGTGCATCTTTTTATTTATGTTATTGATCAGTATTTCAATAACTGTGCACTGTAAACATTTTTACCTTCACCATGGGTGTCTTTTAAAATATCGTAACAGTCGTGAGCCCGTCTCGAAACACGCGTCTTGTGTTCAGCACAACATAAAACGGGACACGACCGATGTATGCAGGTCAAGACAGGTGACAACGATACACTGGAGCTGGGCAGGCTATATTGGTCCCAAGGCACACATGTAGCTGTGGTCCATGGGGGGCTTCATCAATGAGCAGCACCTGTAAATCCACACTGCAAGCACATATCTCTACACTTCAGGACTTTGCACTTCCATTTCTGTTGCAGTTTGGACAACTAGAATCCCACCAAAATGAAATCATTCAGATTGTATCAGTCATTAACACCATTATAAAGCAAGCTTCCTTCTAAAAATGACCTACTGTGTGCAAGAGAGTAAGCAAGTGTGTAAGAGAGTAAGCATTTACAAAGTGATGAGCAGAAGAGGGAGAGATTAGGGTTTGACCTCCTCCACAACCCTTGATTTAACACCAGTATTTGAAGTTTGACATAAGCATTGGTTCTTCTTCTGTTTTCTGCCACATACAAAAGCTCCTGAACTTTATTTCTATCACATCCTTTTGGCAACGAGAAGACAAACATTATAAAGCTACCAAAACCACTAATCCAACCAAAGTCAGTCCAGATCAATTAGGAAGTAATAATTTTAATAAGTTAAAATTATTTAATAAGTTAAAAAACCCACAGGGAAATGAAACCCAAAAGGATCCAAAGAATAACATTTGATTATCAACAGTTTACTTGCCTTGCCTGCACAGGCAGGCAGACAGAACTGTTATTCATTTTCTAGGCAGTGGAAAAGGTTATGAGGTCATAGCATTGTGTTCTGCAATTAAGGGTATATAACAAATAGGCCATGGAATCTGAGATACTTGAGAAAATCAGAGGACAAAAGCTGCCGAGAGATTTAGCCCTACACGACTTCATTGGTGATAAAAGCATTAAGCCAGCATGGTGACTTATGAAGTGTCTGAGTTTTATAACCGTTACAAACGCAGCATAAAACTCAAAACTGCTTTTCCAATCCATCTGTGAAACCTTTGCTTTTACAGAAGCTTATACCTCCTTGAAACCTAAAGGTGTCACGTGAGAAGACATCCAATGCAGCCTCCTGTGTTTCTTTAAAGCAAGGAGGAAAAGAAACCCTTTGGCAAAAATCATAGGGAAGAGATTTTTTACGGTGATAATCATAACATTTTAAACTTGTTTACTAGGATATTTCAAGAAAGACTAACAGGTTCAATCCCTTGTGGGCTTCATTTGCAGGGCATGGAAAGGTAACCAGGTTCTTCATATAGTACATGTACATGTACATTTTACATCTTTCTCTCTTATAAATCACACACATTTTACAGGACTTTTTCTATCAGTCTACACAAAGTTGATCAAACACCACTACTCCAACCACCCTGTTTTCAATTGAATGATTCTGGATTACTGTGAAACCGACATATACAAAAAGTAAGCAAAATTCAAGACATTGAAGGGAGCATGAACTAGGGGAAATAAGTTAAATAATAAAGTTATTAAAATTACTATTGTTAATTCTTTACATAGAAAACATTGTTGCATAAAAATACATTGGTCTAAAGTTTTTTCAATAGACAGAAACTATTAACTCTTTGAATTCAGGGCAATTTAGCGAAGAGTGAATCCATTTGTTAAATACTGTCTTGTCAAATATGTCCTTTAACTGAAGTCTGTGCAAATAACTTTAGATAAAGATACATTAAAGTATAATTATATGTTAATATATCTTTATAACATATAATACTATAACAATAACATATAATTATGTTAATGTATTTTTTTTACTAAAGTTAATGGTATAATAAGCAGGGTACTGCTAATGTTAACACATTTCTTCTTAGTATGATCACATGCCTTTATTTTAACACCAGTAAGGTAAATTTTAGTGGCAAAAATATTCTATAAAACTAAAGAAAAATTAAATAAATTCAGAGTACTAATAAGTCCATCCTATATAAGCCAGCAACATTTCAAACAAATTCAGAAAGGAGGTCTAATCTCAAATAAAGATGATGATATTTTTAAATATTGGGAAATTTTCAATGTTATGAATGATTTGCCTTTTGTTTTAGTAACAACTCCACAAAACATTTAAGAAAGCCGATCAGAAGGCCCTACAACTGAATTTGAATATGAATGGATAAAAAGGTATGTTCTGCAGTTTTAACATGGGTAGTTTAAGTCAAATAACATATATATTAAGTATATACGTTATATATATGAACTCCTCAATATCGCTCACAACCATTAATCCTGTTTGTTATTTAAAATAATTTTGCAGAGCTTATTTTGGTCTATGTTCACTCAGATTTCTTCACAGCATATTTAGCTTTCAGCACAAGAGATGACATGTTTTAATGTTTCCACAAAAATCTGAGAATACCTGCTACCTATTTTGCTTGAAGCAACATCGCTCTTTCTTGTTTCTATCCATCATGGCTTAAGCTTATCTGATTCCCCACTGTACTATTCAAGACACAATAGTTAATCACTACAAGCTCAAGAAAAAAGGCATGTTATTAATGATTTGCCGGAATAGAATTTGTGGTCCATTAAAAGTGCTACCAAATTACAGAAAGTGCTTGCCTGGTGAGAAAACTTGTCAAGGTGAGGAAGATAATGCACCTTCCTAGGGCACAGCTAACAGACGTGACAAAAGAGAATTGAAAAAATAATCCTTTCCTCTGGCAGTAAAGTAGTTAAGTTGGTACATAGTTAAAGTGGTAGACAGGATTTGGTCTTTTGGAATGAATACCAGGGTTAATTATTTCAAAGAGCAGATCAGCTCTTATGCTATTTGTAGTTATATTTAAGAGCCAGTGTGTCAGGAATGCACATTGTTCAAGTGGTGGTATGTTACAACCACAGGGCTGTAAGACATCTGTGTCACTTCTTTTGTGCAACTATCTATCATATTAAGAAAAGAGGCTCTAGACGTAATGCATGGATATACACTATCAGTCTTTGGTGTACTAGATTTCTGAGCCCTCATTTTTGACCTACCATTGAGGACTGGTTTCACAGTAATTTACAGCAGGCCTGGATTTATTTGCCCAGACATTAGGCAGTCTGAGATTAGTGCTAATTAGTGCCTGTGAAACTGCTGCTTAAAGTTCAGTAGTTCTGTGGTACAGTTAAATGTTGGTCATGCTTATTTGCTGAGTTGGACACAGACTGTGCCAAACGTTTAAAAGCAAATCATTATATTTTCATTTAAAATTTCTTAATCAGATCTCAAATTTGAAATGTGAAAAGTGCCAAAAATTAGCACATTTCCAAAGCTGCTCATGGAGGACATGGCCAAGATCATACCTGAAACTTTAGAAATAAAATGGATCTCAGCTGATACCTGATCCCAAATAACAGTTTGAGTCTTTCTAGAAAAGATATAATATGACTGCATCTCAGGAGGCTAATTTCTGATGTAGCATCACATGACATGTGGATGCTTGTCTTTTGAGATTCCTCATAGGTTTGTGTGTACAAAACAATATGTATATATAATGACCCACCAACTACCGTATGTACATTAATGCAGAGAATCAAAACATAAATCACGTTTTCCAGAAAACGAACTGCAATTTTATCGATACTGTTAATGGTCATAAGGACAGTTCACATTGTGGTACAAAAAATGAACTTCTTTTCAATTAATTTTGACCAACACTGTTCTATACAGCTTTATCTAGAGTAGCTTTTACTAAGAACCACACACCATGTGTAGTCGATCACTTTACTTCAATGGAGTAGAATACTGGGTTATTGAGATTGTATAGTGAATCTGTCAGGAAACCAGGTTTTGTGACACTGTACACAACATATAACTTAAGTAGTAGCCAGATGAAGTCACTGAGGAGCAAAAATCAACAGAACACAATTTTGTGATGTGACACTTCTGATACTCAGTGTATACGTATTATATTAAAGGATGCAAATCAGCTTTTATTTTACCCGAGGTTGTATTTAAGAGCCAGTTATGCTTGAACCTCAGCCTGTTTCTTGTACTGCTTTAAAACCAAATACCTGCATTAGATTAAGATATGCAAATAATTATTCCTAAAGGAGGTTTCCTTTACCCTACCCACTTGAGAACCACTTATCAAACTCGCTACTATTTATGGTTGCAGTTACACTGCAAGAGACCCCCAGTAATGACTTGAAGGAGACCTTTCATACTCATGCCCAACTGTGAAATAAGGGCTCTTAGAGAGCAATAGCTGCTGCAGGTGGTTAGTTCTCTCCTTGCTGAGAGCTTTTATGTAACACAGCTGCCACTAAAAAAAAAAATTAATCTTTTCAGTGAGATGAAAATCAAACTCAGCCCGTTACTTTGTTCCCAGTCCTGTTTGGCAGAACCCTGACCTATAACAGACACCAGGAGTAAACCCCGTGTGAGCACCTATAACAGACACCAGGAGTAAACCCCTTGTGAGCACCTA